AAAGTCGTTTCATTCAGCTTGTACTTCAGCGTTGTGTTCATTTGTATATATTTGTGAAATTAATGCGTAATTAATCATGCAAAAAGCATCATAATGCTCCATTTGGGTCATATGGCAGCCTTTGTATATCTAATGCAGACCACACAATCTGTGTCATTTGATACAGAATACTAGTACGGTTATTAGTTTTCATTATCAACCGATAAAAGATTGATCATGTAATAAATACGAAGGATGAAAGCCCTTACTGTTCATTTTGTCAGGCATGACTGCAATTGTTTGTGGGTTTTTTGAGACATCCTATATACAACTTTACATTTTCGTTTTACAGCTCAACTTAAGATCATGGGGAAGATAATGTATATCGTAAGCTTCGTTATGTTTGCAGCTGATCTGGGCACAGATATTTACGTGGCTGTTAAACATTACGAGAATGGTGATCAAGGGTGGTTTGCTTGGACACTAGTTTTTTACTGTCATTCCTCTTGTCATTAGCGTTATGGCGCCTTGCTATGCAAAAAAACTATACGAAGTTCGTGATTTTAGAGATACTCTCGTTATAGCACGTTATATGGAGGCAATGTATGAGTCCGCTCCACAATGGTGTCTTCAGGTTTACATCATGTTACTTAAATGGGAATTCCCATGGTATGCCATACTGTCCACCGTGTTTTCCCTTCTTGGCTTGACTTGGAGTACTATCTGCCTTGAAAGAAAAGTACTAGAAGACGAGTATGATAACTGGCTATTCTTGGCTGTATCTTTCTTGCACGAGCTGTCTGGTTTCATTTCTCGATTCGTCGTAATTGCTGTCTTTGCGTACGCATTTACGCCGCTGTTTTTGGCAATTGCCTTTGCCGTTCATTTTATTGCCCTCGCGGTGACTCTAAATTATATCGAAAGACGTTACTTTGGCTCCATAGAAGATTTTAATTATATTTTAAAAAATGCGTTTAAGTGTGGGTTGTTTGGGATCTTATTCTTCATCCCTCTCGCATATGCTTTTATCCCGTTTTTGTTATATCCGTCCAAGGCACTATTCACCGCACTGTTTAGGAGTAATGAAAACCGAATGCAAACACACTATAAATGGACATACATCGTGATTGTCGTAGTGAACATCATTATGCTAATCATGATTGCTTTTGTGGACCCTATACGGGAAGACACCCATATGGATGCAGTGAGACCAATTGCGACGGAATGCGTACTAGGTGCAATGGCAGCCAACTTGGGTTTGCTTATGTTCAAACTTATGTTCAAATGCTGCATGGGCTTTTGCAGCAGTGACGATCCTGAACCAGCCACAAGCCAACCGGCGGTAATCAGTGGCGTAGCCAGCCCGACAATTTAGTGATGCTATGCTAATATTTTGGTGTTCATTGAATGTGAAAACAATGAATTTCTAAAAAAAATGAATGATGATACTAACATAAAATTTGCATAGCATGACTAAATCGTCAGGCTGGCTATGCCATTGGCAGTAATCAGCTCATATGTTCTGACCACTGGTCAGTTTTATATTAGCCTTTTCCCAAAAGAGATCACAGTGGATTTTCAAATATGTGAGAATAGAAATATATACTATCAAATATCAACTTCTTTGTGACTGAAAAATGAGATGTCAGTCCCTTTTTCACAAATATAGGCTAATAGCCTATACTCTATATTACATTTTTAGTTGCATGTATTTAGATGTAGATGATGCGTGTAATGTGACGAAAAGATAATACATTTTAAATGTATAATATAATATACTCTACAGGGTGTCCCAAAAAACCCGAAAACTATTGAAATCACCCATAACAATGTAATTGTTAGAGTTTGAATGCCTAAGCACACTGTTGGGACCCCCAAGTATAAATTAATGTTTGCCATAAGCATTTCTATGCATGCATATGACGCAGTATAATTTGCTCGTACGCGAAAATGATATTTATGAACAATATCTAAATGTGCATCTCAATCACCATGACCTTCGACATGTCCCCTTTCTCTAGCAACACAAAGCATTTAGCATTTCACTGAGTTGCATTAAATCCCCACGGGCTAAATTTCGTGCACACGGCATTCCAATTTTAACAATGAGTGATTTCAATAGTTTTCGGTTTTTTTGGGACACCCTGTATAATACATTTTTAGTTGCATGTATTTAGATGTAAATGATTGCGCGTAATGTGACGAAACGTTACTCGATAAAATAAAAATCAAAATCCCTCTTTTGCGAATCATTTGCTGCAGGCATACGTTATGATATAATGTCACCAGACTTGACATGTTTAGTGGGCTTGATTAAAAAAAACGCACAAAAAGATTCTTTTCTGCAGCGTTAGCTATATTGGGCTTAAGATTGATGACGGAAAATATGATAATAGCCTTCATGCAGTGGATTAAAAACGCCAAAGATGTACAGAAAATAGAAAGGATGATGATGATGATGATGATGATGATGATGATGATGATGATGATGATGATGACGATGACGATGACGATGACGATGACGATGACGATGACGATGACGATGACGATGATGATGAATTACATTTATATAGCGCACTTTTCATATCGTTCAAATGCGCTTTACAGTTTACATCAAATATTACGTAATAACATACTTTATCCTTTAACCCACCCGCCAACCTTCCCTGTGGGAGGAAACCGGAGTTTCCGGAGAAAACCTGGGACTTTCGGCAGAGCGTTGGCATACTCTTTTCACATGAGAAATTCAAGAGTCCTGATTGAGAATCGAACCCACGACTTAGAGGCGAAAAGCGATCATGCTAACCCCTGCGCGCCACCGAAGCCCCGTGAAGAAGACAGGCACACCTTATGCACAAAGTGAGAAGATTTTTTAGATCCACAAGGTGCAAGGGAAATTGCCTGGCGTAACAATGGCTTAAAGCACCGGGCGCAATCATTGCTTTGACGTAAGCCATATAAAATAAGATTAGAAAAAAATATGAGATGAATTGGAAGGAGATGATTGAAAACTCTGTAAAGAAAGTAAGGCCTTGCTGTTTGCCTTTTTCCAGTATAACGCGAAGCTTAAACTCCGTAAAATAATTTTTTGTCAGTATTGCTGATGAATAAGTTTTTATCAACTCTTTTAATTTGTCGTGTAATTTTGCAGTTTGAATTTTCAATGTATTGAGTGCATGTTGGCTAACACAAGCTTTAATACGCGTGGGAGCTGTTTACAGGCCGGTTACGACAATTTGGATACAAGTAGTGATATATAAGTGAAAGAAGATATTTAAAGTGGAAGTCAAGTCCGTTTAGCGCCAGAGGTTCTGCCCATAGATTTAGCTCATAACAATTGAGGGACCTCTGATGTGAAAATTGCCTAAATTTTGCATGTTTCTTAGTTTTTCTTAACATAAACTCTAGTTTCATATTAATTTAGAAGTGTAACGAACTTAAATAGTGTTAGATATTCACAATAGCGTAGCCAACCTGTCGATTTGTTCCGCTATGCTAATATTTTAACGATCACTGACTGTGAAAACAATAAATTTCTAAAGACAAGAATAATTATAATAACTCGAAATTTTCATAGCGGGACAAAATCGTCAGGCTGGTTACGCCACTGGATATTCAGACAGCATATCGTATTTTAAAAAATAGTGAAGTTCAAAATGTAAACAAACAGTTTGTTTACATACGGACTTGATTTCCACATTAACAAATACAAATTATTCCTCCTCTGCGAGTAATTTTCATCTAATTTTGTCACGAAATTTTGCGGAGCAATTAAAATATCAAAATAGTAAAATTTTGTCCCATTTTCCCCTGTAATTTGATTGGTGGATAGTTACACTGATATACTAAATCTGATTGGTTATTGTGGTGCAGAGCTTCAAGCTTATTGGCTTATAAATGATGTGATTGATGCTCAAAAATAGTATGATGTGGGAATTGACTAGACTATATTTAACCAATCATATTGCATGAAAAACTTTTAAATTTCAAAATGAAAATAATAAAGGATTCACTCATACCATTCATACGTAATTTCATACATGCACAGATGTGGAGGAGAACTCTCGATATTTTACCACGAAAGCTTGATCGATTTTCAACGAAACTTTGCATACTTATTGTGATGAGTGGCGAAAGTTCAAACGAGTTAGTCGCTCGTTATGCCACCTGGCCTTGAACAATAAATATTCACGATGTAAAGAAACGAGGAGCGACGAGTGTTGCTTAAAACATTCCGGGTGCAAAAATCCAGTAACTCGAATCGATGCAATTTATCAACTTATGTTATAAATTACGAGCATTCAATTCAACACAAATATAATTTGGAAGTTTTATTCCATAAATAGAGCTAAGAGGTTAGGAAGAAACGACGCTGTGTTGTTTATGTATTGATAGATCTCTTACACGAATGTATAATGTGTCGATACCAAATCGATACTCTGATATTCTGCAGAGAAGAGACATGGTGTTTTTTACCGAACCCTGTAATACTTTGCAGAGCAACTAAAATTATAATTTAATAATGACCATATCACGTACGGCTAACGTAATTTGAGTACTTTGAGTAATTTCCTGTTTGATCAAAGGTAATGTTTAACCTAGTACTTTATATTTTTATTGGCATAAGTCAAAACGTTGGGACAAATGTCTGGTTGCTTAGCATTATCTATCTAACTTTGCACAATTCTTGGATCCCTAGTCTAAATATGCCTTCATGTTAGGACAAACTTTGTGGGTAGGTGCGACTTCCCCCTCTCAGCACCCGTTAGATACGCCCTTAAGTTTAATGACACTGCATGCTAATTTATATTAGATCACTAGCTAAGGGTGTCGTTTTGTATAGTCATTGTAGTAACGTGCCGAAACAAAAAGAAACGAAGCCAAGTGCCATATAACAAATATAATATAAGACTAAAATACAAAATGGCGCCGCCCTCTTTTTATACCTACCCCAGCATGCATTGCGGTAATCAAAGCACAGTATGTCGTACACTACAGTCATAACACTGTCTGAGTTATATATTAAAAGCGTCACAGAAATGTTATATGGCAGAATTAGGAGGTAAATACGACCAATGTAGATTCACAGCCGTAGTTGATCCCCACCAGTTCGTGATAGTTTTCTTATCTTGAAGATTATTGATATCTGATCTACGATGAAGTTTACCATCTTTGACTTGAAACAATGGTGTGTTGTTTTTCTCACTCACGTCCACAAATGGTAAGAGATCAGTGACTGCACTTGGATCTATTTTCTCGTCAGGGTTTTTGTACGCTTTGACTACTTGGTCAACGGATGCTTGTGCTGCTTCCACAGCAATTTTGAAATTTTTCTTAAGAAAACATATACAATCTTTTTTGGATCATTTTGTCAATGTAATCCACAAATATATCAATAGATAAAACTAATGTAAATATTTATATATTTGTATTATATACCAAATGCATGAAATATTGCAAAATGTGATTAGAAATTGTAAAGTGCAATTAAACCTGTAAAATTAACTATTGGTTCGTGTCCCCCGGCCCCCGGGAGCATAATGCATGGAGTATGGACGACTAAACTCAGTCATTTGGCAAATAAACAGGTAAAACATTTGTTAGTTATAAAATGAATACATAATTTTAGTTTATCATTTTGCTACTGTAATGAGGTAAAATGCATAAACATGTGCAAAACACTGGTGTAGTTCTGGTGTGGTACATATGTCTTGAGACTCCTGTCATTTAAGACTAACTTGACAAGACACCTCCCTAATGTGCACCCCTGCAGGACCTACAAGGAAAATTTGATGGAGGTGTTCCGGGGTGATAGCGACACCTAGAATTGGCTAATGCGTCATGTATTAACGAAAATGCTTTGTCAATTTTTAATTTGAGTAAACTGTTGAATTCATTTTTGTGAACTCAATGAAAATTGCACCTGGTTTTGCCACAGAATTAAACTATAATAGGGCAATGTAGTAAGTTGTCATTAGAAATATACAATCAAAGGAAGAGTATTCAGTGGTTTGGCGAGAAGAAATTAATTGAGTAGCCTTGCGCGGTGTATTTATACTGTATATTTTATCATGTTAAAAGCAATAGGTTTCAAAGCAATTAGCAAAGCACAAAATGAACATATGAGAGTTTACCTCATCCTTTGTGTTCATGAGCATTCCATCCCCATAAGCAATCCATTTATCTCCACGTAAGTTGGTAACACGAAGACCAAACTTGTTGTCTTCATCATGCATGTATTTACAAAGAAGATCTCCTGTTAAACTTGGTGTAATGTTCATTGGTAAAGCCACTCTCGGTGTTCTGAAATGTCGAGTGAAATCTCAGTTCATAAGGCAGCTATTGGTAGATATCATTGCTTGTTATATGGTAATTCTTGCTGTTCCCTTAATTGCATGTTCTAACTGCAGTTATCCTTGTTCTAACTGCAGGGCCGAAACTAGAACGATAATTGGGGGGGGTGTTTATTCATATATTCAGTTCTGCCCGACGGATTTCCATTGTGAGCTTTTGCACTTACAAAAGAAATCCGCAGGGCAGAACTGAATATATGAATAAACACCCCCCCCAATTATCGTTCTAGTTTCGGCCCTGTCTAACTGTATCATAAGGGAGCAATTGGTATAAATCTTAGCTTCTTATCTGCTATTGTTGCAGTTCTTTTATTCCCCTTTCATTGTTATAACTGTAGTCACCCTTGTTGTATCATTGTTCTAACTGTAGTTATCCTCATTGTTCTCCTGTAGTTATCTTTGTTCTAACTGTAATTATCATTGTTCGTTGTTACCACTGTTGTAAAGTTATTTGTATTTATTCGTGATTACTGGATACTTTGGGTTTCTTTAATCCCCGTTAAAATTTTTTAAATTAACGTATTTTTGTTACCTCATATGTCCACTTGAAAATGAATCGGTAAAGAAGTGAAGGGCAAACGCTTCAATTGAGTACGCCATATCAAGCAACTTTTCTCTTTCTTTTTCACTGCTATCTCCTAAAGAAAATGTAGTGAATTTTCTGACGTCTTGCTATTCCTTCAAGAGTATTTGCACGAATGTGAACGAGACAAAACTAATGCTGATGAGTAAAGTACCTACCTGCTTCTCTTGCTTTCTGAATAGAGTATTCGTGTCCAGCAAGATAGGCCATCTTAGCATGGGGTTGAAAGTGATCAAAGTTTTTTTCTCCAAGTGAAAGCATTCTCCCAGGAACAACGGGTATTCCACCTGCCCATATTCCGCCTGTGGCCTCGTCCCATTCTTTGTCAGTGTGATGACATCCTGCAGTTTTGCAAAGCATCTCGTCATGGATCATTTTTAGTAGTTTGTCCAGTTGCTCCTTGACGTATGAATGTTAGAATATACATGTATCACTTATCATTGAGCTTTGTTTTACAAATAACATAAGAAAACAGGAGTTTAAACTCGTTCGTAGCTACTCATTAATGATATATGCATAGACATATGTGTTAGCCTTTTCACGACACGATGACGAATCTTTAAGAGAATTTAAAGAAACATAACAGTATAAAATGCATTTTTATGAATTGGTGTACAATCTATGAGTAAAAATAGTCGCTGTTATTGAGAAATCTCACGATTTTGAAGTACTCTACCCTCAAAATGGCCGCATATTCGTCTTTGTGAGATCGTTTGGATCATATATCATAACTGTTACATGATATAGCTACAGTAAACGTCCCTATAGTGTTGGGGAATTTAATTTCTCTTTGTTCTTTCATTTTTCCTAGTCAACGGTATGGAGTGAAATATCTTAAACCTTATATTTTCCTTTGTATGGAGTTTCTGCGAACGTGGAGTACGCATTCTTGAATCTTTGTGTCACACCTGGATCAGGCTGACCTGGATTTTGCAATGATTGACAATGGGAGCATCTGGAATACCATAATAGTCCCCAGCAAGTGCGATGATATCCGCAAATTTCAGAGGTACTCCATTTGGAAGAGTAATTCTTTTCTTTCCTGTGTAAAATTGTGAAAACATTAAATTTACGGAAAGGTCTTGCTCAAAACTATGGGCAGCACACTTCTCTAAACATTTTTTCATCCTCCTAACACATTTCAAGCAGTTTTTTTTGACCCAGTCGTCTTCTCGAACAACACTCCAGCTCTCCTAAAGCTCTAGGGTTTTCTGTCTTATCGCACTGTTGCCTTCAGAGAAGATTGTTCAATCAACTACAATCTGCGATTCCTTAAACACCCACATGCACTCTCTACCGACATGATAAAATTCGTGAATGCGATATTATTGTAGACAAAGTATTTTTGTATTTAGTTCGAGTATAGAAAAAAATGGCTGGTTTTCTGATTGCAAATTTATCTTTTATAATCTTACCAATATCTAGTTGATATCCTATCGTTTCATGTTCACCAGTATCAAAGAAGGAATCAAGAGTAGGAATATTGTTTGCCATTTCTCCCTATATGCCAAATATTTAATAATTATGATTTATATAATACGCGATTCTTCACTCATTTTATATTGCTTAATTATAGGAGTCCTTCGGCGTCAACTACTGTCAGTACTGGTGAAAACCAAACCAGAGAAAGGCTGTACGATGAAGAAACGTTTCCATTAATGCTTACAATAAGTTATGAGTGACCAGGGTGGCCGACGGTGCTCGTGGTAGCACCCGTTGTCTAGGTGATGGTGACGACGAACGTTTCCGTCCACAAAGGAAAGGCAAAATGCGACTATCCGATTCGGATCGTGGCATCCCGCGTCGACATAAACTGGCGCTGGTTTTCAGCTTAGCAAGACACCTAATGCTGGGGAGTTGACGGCATTATCGAACCACGGTTGCAGGGCTAGTTGCACGATCAAGCGGATCTTTCAGGGACCGGCGCAGCAATACCGAAATTGGCAGCCCTGATATGAAACACTGATTCTTCACCTGAACGTTACCAAATCACATTGCTTCCGAAACAAGGCAACTGCACGAGTCTCGCTTGATCGCAATGGAAAGGCAAGATCGCGGTGACGCTATTTGGCAGCGTCATTTTAACACGATTTCCGACAACGTGATTCTGTTGCGGCATGTATTTAACTTGCCATGTATGAACCTGTTGAATATGAGGGTAGTATTATTCTGTGGGGGCGTTCAAGGACATCGTTTGCCTCACCGGAAGGCTCTTTTTACTCGCTAAAAAACTCTATAGACCGGTGCTGCCAATGGCGATAACAACGGCTTAGCAGCAAATTTGCTAGTTTAGGTTGCGTGTGGAAACCTCATTTCCCCGTCATCAGATCAGAAATGGCGACAGGCTTTCTGGCGTTCCTTGTGAGAGAATTATAGGCTGGTTTGACGACGCGGCTGCTGTGTGACCGGACAATGATGAATTGATGAGGTCGTTCTTTTGGGAGTAAGGCAGTTGTGCAAAGGGATCTGCAGACTGCGACTGCAAACGTAAGCATCGAGGCCTGCATCACAAGGCTGCAGACTGCAATCAACACTAAACTATGCGTAGGCGTCGAGGCCTGCATCACAAGGCTGCAGGGTCAAGCCGAACAAGAGGCTCACGCTCCACGTGTTCGACGTTCGCGCAGAAACAAACGGGGACGAGTCTAATTACCAGTCCCAGAGAGCGCATGTCCGTGGGCTGGGGTTACACGCGTAAAAACGCGCAAGTTGTAACAAGTCTGCAGCAGAGTTGATACAAGTCTGCTCACAAGCTTGCAACAAGACTTGTTTGCACTGCATGCTTACTGAAATTTGTTGTAACAAGTTTGGGACAGGCAGTTAATAACCTGTAGCAAGTCCCATGGCATTATCAGACTTGTTACAAGATTGTTCTTACAAGTCTTATCAGATATCATACAACAACATTGATACGAACTTGACAGCACATGCAAGATTGTTGCAATATTGTCACATCATGTTTGTACCAGACTTGTGGAACAGCCTTGTAGCAAGTTTAATTAAATATACTTTTTTCAGTTCCTTTGGAAATTTTTAGACGGTGAGTCATTTACACTATTTTCGACCAAGTGTTAATCAAATTATTAAAATCACAGCTACCAGAAAATATAATGAAAAAGCTGTGGACATATTTCAGCATGCTTTTCTTGCCCGATATCAGTTTATATATTTAAGATTTAATTGCACCTGTATACAAACGCTAAAGAAAATTAAGGTCTGTTCCCTTTCTTGCTCGCTTCCCAGTAAACTTTTGATATAGCGTACAGGGGTGCACAACAGAGACCTATTGCATGGTACCCCACGGTAAAAAAATCACAGTGCATCACGGTAAAATTTCAATGGTTATTTTTACCCCCAATTGCAAATTATCATTAATGAGTGTAAAAAGACGCTTAGTTAATTTCTGTCGTTTTCCATCTGATTTCTTGATGAATTGAAATATACAGCAATAACGTTTACCAGGTAGACGTGAATAAATAAATATTTGTTCAAATATTGTTGATAATTGCTTGCGAGAATGAGGTAACACCTATCAATTCATATAGAAAAAATAACATGCATCATCGCAAAAATGCCGGTGGAAAATTTTTTTCTTTCCGGCAATTATGTCATTTGTAGCTAATTACTAGTTATCATTGGCGTCAATCGTGCGTTAATCGAGGGGACCATAGTAATATATTCCGCTATGCCTGAAACATTTCTTTTCAAAACAACTTCACATTCAATAGAAATCAGCTTGGCATAACAGAATATAATTATGAATATGGTCCCCGAAATTAACGTTCGATTCTTGCGAATGCTAGGTTATTATTTAGCGGATTTATGCCGAGGTCTCTGCCATTGTATGTCCCTTTCACTTCAGAAATGCACGAAAATAGGGGCTGTTTTGATGGGTTTTCCACTGTTGCGTTTTTGTACGTACGTTTATAAGCTCGTAAAAGTTTAAATGATACTTATGAAAACGATTGAATAGAGGCATAGGGTTGGATTCTTTTGATGATTTCATGTGTTTTTTCTGGCTAAAATTAATTGTACAACAACTTCGAAGGTTTTAAGCTTTTACGTGCGTGCATGCAAAAAACGCGACAGTGGAAAGCAGCCCTCAAGGCAATGAATGACGTGGTGGAAATGCAAATCACATGCAACATTTAGATTTTATTAAGTCCCGCGACAACTATAGCAGCTTATATGTTTTGCCGAAAAAAATAAGATTGTAGTCAATGTGGTATGACACTAAATACTCCAATATCATCTAACATTAGATATTCCACACAACACCAAAGGGGAGTCATTATACAAGAAATTCACAGCTATCATTCCACCCTGGTCGAGCTACATTTTTAGCTTGCTCGTTAACAATAAGAATATACAGTTAATACAATAATTTTATATCCACTGTTTGAATATACTCACAGTTTGTATAATAATTTAAAGCCTCGCTTGAAAAGTGTCCTAAAATCTTGCAAAAGTTGATTGAAGATCCAAACATACATCGATCATTGTAAGCAAGATGACCCTTAAACCACTTTATTTGCAAATGAATTCTTGCTGGTATTTATGTGCAATTTTAATTAGCCTACTTACGAATACTCTGATGTACAAAAGCTCTTATGTGTACATTCGTAATTAATTCACTCCTTAACATCTATCAAAAGAAGAAAAGCGGGCTTTGGAAAAGTTCAATGCCATTCACCTTTTATATCGCACATGCTGATTAAGAAAAGCATGCACCAAATGAAATCATAGGCAACCCAGGAAGCATGCGAAGATTATATAATATATATATAGTATATAAACATGCATACATAATTTCGCATGCTTCCTCGGCTGCCATGATGAAATGAGATAATAATACAAATTTAAATTTTCATAGGTCACGCAAGTACTTCCCGTCACAGCACAATACATTATATTGTTTTAAAACTTAATTGGGAAACATTAACAATAACAAGAAAAATAATTAAGTAATTTAGCTAAAAGCCTTGTAGGTACACTACGTAAGTATTTAATACTGCAAAGCTTTCGGTCCGTTAACCCAGGCCTTCATCAGTGCAATTATCTGAATACACATTTACATCTGAAGTCACTTAAATATCACGTTAGTAATGATTTGCTAGCTGTTTCACTTACCAAGTAATTATGAAAAAGAAACAGTTCTAATTAATACGTGGGTCCTTGACAAGTATTTAGCTAGCAGACATTGAAATGAGCACGCCACGTAGTATTGAGTGGCTTACCCTCTTGGGCGATAGTTTGATGCTTTTAGATTTCAATAGATTCTCTCATTTTACGAGAGATGGTGTACTTCAGTATCATTCGCTAAAATGCTTGCATCTTTGCATTTAATGCGATGATCATAAGTTCACGCATGGTGAGCTACAGCAGACTTATCCAGTTTACCTTTCAGGTAATTGCACTGATAAAGGCCCGGGTTAACGGACCGAAAGCTTTGCAGTATTAAATACTTACGTGGTGTACCTACAAGCTAAATTACTTATCGACTGTCACCATGCAAACATACAAGAATATTACACCTAAAAGGAAAGGGGGAACCGGACAGGAAAAGCCCATGCTAGGCACCCCCCTTATAAACATTAAAATTACAATTACAATTATTTACATTACATTATATAACTATTGTTGAGGTAATAAAAGCTTGATTTGCGCAATAATGCGTTGAAGTTCATCGGCGAACATGAAGCAACTAAAGCCCCATAATTACATTATACACATTGTTATACACATTATTCGACTGAAATTATCGCAATGGAATTAAACATTAGGATTAGGGGAAGATTAAAATCAATGAGCTTTTAGAATTTTACAGGCCCTGTTTAATTCTGAAAGCTCACTCACACTCAAACTCATTGACAGAGTCAAAGGCGTAAGTGTTCAGTTAAGCTTTAATGTTTAAAAAAAATTTAATAATTTCGATTAACGGAAAATCATGCAACCCTCGACCCTCGACTTAGTACCCTCGCTCCTTGAACAAAACCTAAACTCCATACTTTTTAACGCGATTGTGTTTACCTTATGTTATAACATACCTTATACGCGCCCCCTCTCAAATTAGACGTCTAGCTCATCTTGATAAAGGTATGTGGATAAAGGGGAGAAAAATATACATATATCACTAAAACCTAAAAATATATAACGAGACTTAAGTGTTCACTTAAATTACTTTTAATGTACTTCAATAGTATTTATAGCGCTTTTCCATGGATTTCAATATTGATTCTTACATAATATTTATTCAATACTACAGTACATCTTTTAGAGTAATGAGAATAAAATTAAGCATATTGTCGCACAGCATTTAGGCAGAAAGCTCAACAGATTACGTCATTGTCCCTAGATGTTTCATTTCGCTTTTCAGTGAAATTGGCTCCATACAATTTTGGAATTATGGGGTCGTGATTTAGATTTCATTTTTTCACAAGAGATATGCTTTTAGAAAAGACGGGTACCCAATATTACTAGTTGATCAATATATGACAATGTTCATACAACTTTGATAACGTTCTCATAGTAACAATGCTAATTCAATTTGGCGCCATTTTGCCTATTCACGCATTTTAATAAAGTACGTAACCCGACATTATTTCTTAAACATTTTGCACAGGGAAATGGGAATTCTAAATAGGAGAGGCATTTCAGGGACCCCCAATCTTGAGCATATTCAATTTACCTAAAATTTAAATTTAAATATTGTCTTTTTTCTCTTTTTATCAAACACTAAAAATAGACTTCGTTGTGTAGTCGAAGACTAAAATAAGTTTAGGTACGTACGTTTTGGATCGATGAATTCGTTTATTCTGCTGATATATTAAACATACATAGGCATGTCATGCATATTAAAAGTGTGGCAGAAACGTTATATGGCAGAATTGTGTGGTTTATACGACCAATGTAGTTTCACAGCCGTGGTTGTTCCCCACCAGTTCGTGATGGTTTTCTTATCTTGAAGATTATTAATATCTAATCTACGATGAAGTTTACCATCTTTGACTTGAAACAATGGTGTGTTGTTTTTCTCACTCTCGTCAACAAATGGTAAGAGATCAGTGACTGCACTTGGATCTATTTTCTCATCAGGGTTTTTGTACGCTTTGACTACTTGGTCAACGGATGCTTGTGCTGCTTCCACAGCAATTTTGAAATTTTTCTGAAGAAAACATAAATAATCATCTTTTTGGAAGATTTTGTTAATTGAGAAATCCTAATTTCAAACATAATTCTAATTTCAGACGTAATTCTAATTTTGGACGTAATCCTAACCCTAATCTCAGAATTAAACTCGGTTAATCTACTATGCTGACTGGCATATTATGCTGACCCACTGAGCTATAATCCCCGAAGCGCCGTGCGAAGGTACTAATCCCGCCCGGAAATTAGGAATTACACACGGGTATTCTGACAGAACATAGGCGAATCCAAAGTTGCCCAAATGCCATGGACGTTCAATGGTGATGGTAGTTGTGCGCATGCGCGAAATTTGAACGAAGAAAGAACGGTCGTCTACAACTTTCTGATTGGCTAAGACAAAAAGAGAGCATACATGAGAGCGTCAGCATTTTAACTGTCATTTTGCAAATTATTTCTTAAAAATATAAAATGAAATCATGGAGTCATATGTTAAAACAATAATAAAAGATTTAAAGATCATCACAGCACAGAAACAGTTGGTGAAATAGAAACGACTCGTAGTTTATAATCTTTGAAGTGGTCTATATTTTGCCTATTCAGTGTTTGCTGTAAGAATGCATTGTTATTTTGACTAGTAGGAGCTTGGTATGTCGTTTTGCCAGGAGCTAACCGACCGTTTAAGGCTATATACATCATCGCTTAAACTTTAAAAAGAGTTCTCAAAAGTCGACTTCCGAGTTTTGATAAAACAAATATCACTTTGCAGCTTATATAGTCGATAAAATCATTGAATAAAATAAATCGAAATACAACACTCGACGTTTAGTGCTTGTATTGTTATTATAATCATTTGTGCTGTTTTGATGTTTTGAAGATTTAGCTATAGAAAAGTTTAACACTCACTTAAACTGCAACGTAATAGAGCAGGCAAACAGGTGATTTCTGTTCACCTTTACGACTGTCTTTGTTTCCGAAAAATTTGCACGAGTTATTTCATAATATTAGCGTAGAAAGTTAAGTCTGGGTAGCGCACTAAATATTTTGTTTCGTTGAAAATGGCGAGGGGTTGCTGCATGCATGTATTTCTAGTATTATATTATAGCTCAGTGTGTTGACCAGCAAGCTGACTTTCTTTTTGCCCTTCGCCGGTGTCTCCAATCCACATTTGCAATTTCAGGAAATGGAAAAATCCAGAATGGGGAAATTTGCTGTTCGACACGAGGGAATGGAAGCACTTTAAAATTTATCACTGAAGTTTACACATGAGTGATTTGCACCCAGCCTCGTACCCAGGCGCTTTATTGGAAAACATAAACTGCATTCAGCGCAATATAGAGATCTGTGGCTGAAATGTGCGAGCGCGCAGGGGTGCTTGGGGAGGACGCAACGGGAGAGAGAAGCGCCTGGCAGAATATGCAGATTTCCGGCTCCTTTTTTGCAAAAAGTGAAAAATGTGTGAGGGCTAAATATCTAGATATATTTTGAAAAAGTATTGAACCTGTGATCAAAATTGTGCTGCGTCCTCCCCAAACACCCCTGCGCGCTCGCACATCTTAGCCACAGATCTCTATATTACGCTGAATGCAGTTTATGTTTTCCAATAAAGCGCCTGGGTACGAGGCTGGATTTGCACCCAAATGGTGCCATTTGTGAAATAAATTTGCAGTTAATGTTCAAGTTCTTTGCGATCAAAAGCAATAAAAAATGAATAAAATTGCAAAATATGATGGGAAATTTTAAAGTGCAATTAAACTAATAAAACTGACTGTTGGTGAACTCGTGTCCTGCCCTGACCCCTGGCCCTGGAGTGTGGACAACTAAACTCGGTCATTTGGCAAATAAACAGGTAAAACATTTGTTAGTTATAAAGTAATAAAGTGAATACATAATTTTGGTTCATCATTTTGCTACTGTAATGAGGTAAAATGCATAAACATGTGTAAAACACTGGTGTAGTTCTGGTGTAGTACATATGTCTTCAGGGCCGTAGCTAGAAGCATAATTGGGGGGAGGGTGTATTTAGACTGATTTCTAATTTATATAGACTGATTTCTTTTGTACCCTATTGTTCCTACGGTATATAAACATGAATATATGAATAAACACCCCCCAATTAAGCGGTCTAGCTACGGCCCTGTATGTCTTGGGAATCCTGTCATTTAAGGCTAACTTGACAAGACACTCCCTAATGTGCACCTCTGCAGGACCTACAAAGAAAATTTGGTGGAGGTGTTCCGGGGTGATAGCAACACCTAGAATTGGCTAATGCATCATGTATTAACGAAAATGCTTTGTCAATTTTTAATTTGAGTAAACTATGTTAAAAGCAATAGGTTTCAAAACAATTAGCAAAGCACAAAATGAACATTTCAAGTTTACCTCATCCTTTGTGTTCTTGAGCATTCCATCTCCATAAGCAATCCATTTATCACCACGTACGTTGGTAACACGAAGACCAAACTTATTGTCTTCATCATGCATGTATTTGGACAGAAGATCTCCTGTTAAACTTGGTGTAACATTTGTTGGTAACGCCACTCTTGGTGTTCTGAAATGTCGAGTGAAATCTCAGTTCATAAGGCAGCTATTGATATGAATCATTGCTGGTTATATGTTAATTCTTGCTGTTCCTTTCATTGCAAGTTCTAACTGCAGTTATCCTTACCTTGTTCTAACTGTAGTTGTATCCTTGTTCTAACTGTAGTTACATATCCTTGTTCTAACTGTAGTTATCCTTTGTTCTAACTGTAGTTATCATTGTTCTAACTGTAGTTATCATTGTTCTAACTGTAGTTACATATCCTTGTTCTACCTGTAGTTATCCTTTGTTCTAACTGTAGTTATCCATGTTCTAACTGTAGTTATCATTGTTCTTACTGTAGTTATCCATGTTCTAACTGTAGTTATCCTTTGTTCTAACTGTAGTTATCATTGTTCTAACTGTAGTTATCCTTTGTTCTAACTCTAGTTATCCTTTGTTCTAACTGTAGCTATCATTGTTCTGACTGTAGTTATCATTGTTCTAACTGTAGTTATCTTTGTTCTAACTGTAGTTATCCTTACTGTCCTAACTGTAGGTATCCCTACTGTTTTAACTGTAGTTATCTTTGTTCTAACTGTAGTTATCATTGTTTTAACTGTAGTTATCATTGTTGTAACTGTAGTTATCCTTACTGTTCTAACTGTAGTTATCCTTGTTCTAACTGTAGTTATCATTTTTTTAACTGTAGTTATGCTTACTGTTCTAACTGTAGTTACCATTGTTCTAACTCTAGTTATCATTGTTCTAACTGTAGTTATCATTGTTCTGACTGTAGTTATCATTGTTCTTACTGTAGTTATCATTGTTCTAACTGTAGTTATCATTGTTTTAATTGTAGTTATCATTGTTCTTACTGTAGTTATCATTGTTCTAACTGTAGTTATCATTGTTTTAACTGTAGTTATCATTGTTCTAACTGTAGTTATCCTTACTCTTCTAACTGTAGTTATCCTTGTTCTAACTGTAGTTATCCTTACTGTTCTAACTGTAGTTATCCTTGTTCTAACTGTAGTTATCATTTTTTTAACTGTAGTTATGCTTACTGTTCTAACTGTAGTTACCATTGTTCTAACTCTAGTTATCATTGTTCTCACTGTAGTTATCATTGTTCTGACTGTAGTTATCATTGTTCTTACTGTAGTTATCATTGTTCTAACTGTAGTTATCATTGTTTTAACTGTAGTTATCATTGTTCTTACTGTAGTTATCATTGTTCTAACTGTAGTTATCCTTTGTTCTAACTGTAGTTATCATTGTTCTAACTCTAGTTATCCTTTGTTCTACCTCTAGTTATCATTGTTCTAACTGTAGCTATCATTGTTCTAACTGTAGTTATCATTGTTCTAACTGTAGTTATCTTTGTTCTAACTGTAGTTATCCTTACTGTCCTAACTGTAGGTATCCCTACTGTTTTAACTGTAGTTATCTTTGTTCTAACTGTAGTTATCATTGTTTTAACTGTAGTTATCATTGTTGTAACTGTAGTTATCCTTACTGTTCTAACTGTAGTTATCCTTGTTCTAACTGTAGTTATCATTTTTTTAACTGTAGTTATGCTTACTGTTCTAACTGTAGTTACGGTTACCATTGTTCTAACTCTAGTTATCATTGTTCTAACTGTAGTTATCATTGTTTTAACTGTAGTTATCATTGTTCTAACTGTAGTTATCCTTACTGTTCTAACTGTAGTTATCCTTGTTCTAACTGTAGTTATCCTTACTGTTCTAACTGTAGTTATCCTTGTTCTAACTGTAGTTATCATTTTTTTAACTGTAGTTATGCTTACTGTTCTAACTGTAGTTACCATTGTTCTAACTCTAGTTATCATTGTTCTCACTGTAGTTATCATTGTTCTGACTGTAGTTATCATTGTTCTTACTGTAGTTATCATTGTTCTAACTGTAGTTATCATTGTTTTAACTGTAGTTATCATTGTTCTTACTGTAGTTATCATTGTTCTAACTGTAGTTATCATTGTTTTAACTGTAGTTATCATTGTTCTTACTGTAGTTATCATTGTTCTTACTGTAGTTATCATTGTTCTTACTGTAGTTATCATTGTTCTAACTGTAGTTGTCATTGTTTTAACTGTAGTTTCATTTTCTTACTGTAGTTATCATTGTTCTTACTGTAGCTATCATTGTTCTAACTGTAGTTATCATTGTTTTAACTGTAGTTATCATTGTTCTTACTGTAGTTATCATTGTTCTTACTGTAGTTATCATTGTTCTTACTGTAGTTATCATTGTTCTTACTGTAGTTATCATTGTTCTAACTGTAGTTGTCATTGTTTTAACTGTAGTTATCATTGTTCTTACTGTAGTTATCATTGTTCTTACTGTAGTTATCATTGTTCTAACTGTAGTTATCCTTACTGTTCTAATTGTAGTTATCTTTGTTCTAACTGTATTTATCCTTGTTTTAACTGTAGTTATCATTGTTCTAGCTGTAGTTATCCTTGTTCTAACTGTAGTTACCATTGTTCTAACTCTAGTAATCTTTGTTCTAACTGTAATTATCATTGTTCTAAATATAGTTATCATTGTTCTAACTGTAGTAATCATTGTTCTAACTGTAGTTATCATTGTTCTAACTGTAGTTATCATTGCTCTAACTGTAATTATCCTTGTTCGTTTTTGTTCGTTCGTATCCCTGTTGTAAAGTTATTTGTCTTTATTCATGATCACTGGATACTTTGAATTTGTTTAATCCCAGTCAGCAAAAGTTTCGGTTGTTAAAATTAACGTATTTTTTTACCTAATATGTCCACTTGCAAATGAATCGGTAAAGAAGTGAAGGGCAAACGCTTCAATTGAGTACGCCATATCAAGCAACTTTTTTCGATCTTTCTCACTGCTTTGTCCTAAAGAAAATGTAGTGAATTTTCTGACGTCTTGCTATTCCTTCAAGAGTATTTGCACCAATGTGAACGGGACAAAATTAATGCTGATGAGTAAAGTACCTACCTGCTTCTCTTGCTTTCTGAATGGAGTATTCGTGTCCAGCAAGATAGGCCATCTTAGCATGGGGTTCAAAGTGATCAAAGTTTTTTTCTCCAAGTAAAAGCATTCTCCCAGGAACCACGGGTATTCCACCCACCCATATTCCGCGTGTTGCCTCGTCCCATTCTTTGTCAGTGTGATGACATCCTGCAGTTTTGCAAAGCATCTCGTCTTTGATCATTTTTAATAGTTTGTCCAGTTGCTCCTTGATGTATGAATGTTAGAATATACATGTATCAGTTATCATTTATCTTTGTTTTACAAATAGAATATGAAAAAAAGGAGTTTGAACTCGTTTGTAGCTACTTCATTATAAATGCAAAGACTTATATGCATGTTAGCCTTCTCATGATGACCAGTCTTTAAGCGAATTTAAACAAACATAACAAGTATAAAATGCAATTTAATACGAATTGGTGTACAGTCTATGAATAAAAGCAGTCGCAGGTATTGAGAAACTCCACGATTTTAAAGTACTCTACCCTCAAAATGGCCGCATATTCGTCTTTGTGAGACTTGCTAATTCGTTAGGATCATATATCATAACTGTTACATGATATAAACTTGGGTGAATTGATTTCTGTTTGTTCATTCCTTTTCCTAGTCAACGGTATGGAGTGAAATATTAACATCTTAAACCTTATATTTTCCTTTATATGGAGTTTCTGCCAACGTGGAGTACGCATTCTTGAATCTTTTTGTCACACCTGGATCAGGCTGACCTGGATTTTCCAAAGGATTTGCAATGGGAGAATCTGGTATGCCATAATAATCCCCAGCAAGTGCAATGATATCCGCAAATTTTAGAGGTACTCCATTTGGAAGAGTAATTATGTTCTTTCCTGTGTAAAATTGTAAAAACATTAAATTTACTGAAAGTTCTTGCTCAAAACTGCGGGCAGCACAACACTGCTATGTTAACACTTTTCAAACAGTTTTTTCTCACCCAGTCTTCTTTTCGAACAATCCCCCGCTCTCCTAAAGCTCTAGGGTTTTTTGTCTTTATTAATAGAGAGGTTTAGTTAGACGTTTACAGCAAACCGCGGTGTCGCGTTAGCGGTTTGACGTTGCCATAAATGCTGTTGTTGCAAATTTGACATTTAGTTAGTAGTCATTCACCTATACCCTATATGAAAACGATTCAAAATTGGCATCCAGTAAACAGTTTCGCTGTGAAATTGCTTCTAGCTATTTCTAATGCTTCAATTTTTTAGAAAACCAATGTCGCGTTTACACTCGGGCTGAAAGGACCTCCATTTTAATAAGCGACTATCGATCGAACTACATAACAGGCTTAAAAATTACCACAAATAAAATTTGGGTATTCAATATGTCTACTAGGAGTTTTTGTACGTGAAACGAGATACTATTGCAATAACAGAACGCTGTGGTCAATGAGCTACGCGAAAATACGCCTCCAGCGGTTGAAAACCTGAACTGCAAACGGCAAACGGCAAATTTTCAACGTCAAGAAAAAAGTCAAACCAAAACTCTCTATAATATCACACTGTTGCATTCAAAGAAGATTGCTCAATCAACTACAATCTGCGGTTCCTTAAACACCCACATGCACTCTCTACCAACACGATGAAATTCGTGAATGCGATATTATTGCAGACAAAGTATTTTTGTATTACGTCGGAGATATAAAGCTTAATAAATTGTCGTACGGTTCGGGTATATTTTCTGATTGCAAATTTATCTTTTATAATCTTACCAATATCTAGTTGATATCCTATCGTTTCATGTTCACCAGTATTAAAGAAGGAAACGGGAGTAGGAATATTGTTTGCCATTTTTCTCTAAATGCAAAAGATGTAATAATTAAGATTTAGTGAACGCAAAATACGAGATTCGCCACTCAATTTATATTGCTTAATTACAGGAGTCCCTCGGCATCAACCATGTCAGTACTGGTGAAAACCAAGCCAGAGAAAGGCTGTACGATGGTGGTGGCACTGCATGGTGGTGTGGAATCATGATGGTTACGACGAACCTTCGCCAACTAAGGGAAGGCAAAAGGCGACCACCTGATCCGTCGGCATATACTGGCGCTGGTTTTTCTCTTATCAATTAAGACACCTGATGCTGGGGAATTGATGGCATTATCGAACCACGGTTGCACGGCTCGTTGTACGGTAAAGACGATCTTTTAAGGACCGGCTCAGCAATGCAGAAATAGGCAGCTCTTATATGAAACACTGATCACCTGAACGTTACCAGAGGCGTTGGAAGCAGTTTAGGGTGGCTGGCGGGTGCGGAGTTTTAGAAAAGAGCATATTGATTCAACCACACGAAGAGGAAACTCAACATCATGATTAAATGTTAAATTTATGATACTTTTATATGTTACCAGAGGGCACAGGACTGACCTCGTTCGGCCCGGTAAGCAAAGGGCGGGGGGGGGGGGGGCTGTTGCCCCCGTAGTTCCGGCGCCCCTTAACATCACATTGCTTCCACAAGGCAACCGCACGAGTCTCGCTGGATCGCAATTGAAAGGCAAGATCGCGGTGATAACGCTTTTGGAGACATCATTTTAACACGATTTCCCACAACGTGATTCTGCTGTGGCAGGTAATCAGCATGTCACGTATGAACCTCCTGAATATGAGGAGAGTATCATGGGGTGTTCGAGGACATCGTTTGTCTCAACGAAAGGCTCTGTTGACTGAGCGAAAAAGCCTATTATAGACCGGTGATGCCAGAGGCGATAGCAACGCGGCTCAGCAGCAAATTTGCCAGTTTAGGCTGCGTTTGAAAACCTCATTTTCCCGACATCAGATCAGAAATGGCGACAATCTTTCTGGCGTTCGTTGCGAGAGAATTATAGGCTGGTTTGGCGGCGCGTGACACCGAGGCATAGACGAAGCTTTCGCAAATGCACGTGAAAATATGGCGCCTGGCGCTTATAGAGACCGAAAAGTCCCTTTTCGGGAATTCCTGCTTATATCTATCTAATTGAATATACTTTTCCGAGTTCCTTTAAAAATTTTTACATCGTGAGTCGCTTCACTGTTTTCGACCAGGAGTAAATGAAATTATTAAAATCACAGCTACAAGAAAATATAATGAAAAAGCGGTGTACATAATTATTTCAAACATGCTTTTCTTGCCCGGTACGATTATATCAGTTTATATCTAAAATTTAATGGCGCCTGAATACAAAGCGCCAAATAAAAGGTCTTGCCTTTCTCGTACCGGGGTGCACCACAGACACCTACTGCATGGTACCCCACGGTACTAAAATCACAGTGCGTCACGGTAAAATTCCAATGCTTATTTTTACCCCTAATTGCAAGTTATCGTTAACCAATAAGTGTAAAAAGATGTTTACTTAATTCCTGTCGTTTTCTATCTGCAAAATATAGCAATAACGTTTACCAGGTGGACGTGAATAAGTAAATATTTGTTCAAATATTGTAGATAACTGCTTGCAAGAATGAGGTAAACACGTATCAATTAATTTAGGAAGAAATAACATCATCGCAAAAATGTGAATTTGTTTTATTTCCTGCAATTATGTCATTTTGTAATTACTAGTTAACATTGACGTCAATCGTACGTTAATGGAGGGGGCCATATTCATATAATAATATTCTGCTATGCTTGGCCAATTTCTCTTGAAAACATCTTTACTTTCAATAGTAATCAGCGGCCTGGCATAACCAAATATAATTATGAATCCCCACAAATTTACGTTCGATTGACGCCAGTGCTATACATAGTTATTATTTTCTGGTTTTAGCGCCATATATATTTACCATGCATTTTTGCATTTTACCACATAGGAGCAACAGACATTCTCGTTTGGCAATTAATTAATAATTAATGCGGAAATTGAAGTATAATATTACCCTTATTTATGATTTTATCTTCAGAAATGCAGGAATATTAGGGCTGTTTCGCACTGTTGGGTTTTCGTACGTATGTACGCACGAAAAACTGTTTAAAATGATTTAAATGATACTTATGAAAACGATTGAATAGATGCATAGCCATAGGGTTGGATTCTTTTGATGATTTCATGTGTTTCTTCTGGCATAAAAAGGTTTTAAGCTTTTACGTGCGTGCAAAACGCGACAATGGAGAGCAAGCCTCAAGGCAATGACGTGGTGGAAATGCAAATCACACCATTTAGACTTTAGGTCCCTTGACAAATATATAGGCTTATATGTTTTGCCGAAAAAATAAGGATGTAGTCAATGTGCTATGACACTAGAATATTCTAACATCTCCAGGTTAGATATTCCACCCAACACATAAATAGCATCTTTATGCCGAAGAGAAGAGTTATTACACAAGAAATTCACGGCTTTCATTCCCACCGGGGTCAAGTCACATTTTTAGCTTGCTCGTAACTTCAAGTAGCACCATCACAATAAGAATATACAGTTGATACAATAATTTTATACTCACTGTTTAATTATACTCACTGTTTATAGGAAATGCAGGAAATCTATCAACAAGTGTTCGACCAACAGTTATATACCCTATATCGTTCCTGGGAGTATGGTGTCTAAGTATGTACAAAATGTAACCAAACTCACAGTTTGTATAATAATTTACAGCCTCCTTTGAAAAGTGTCCTAAGATCTTAAAAAAGTTGATTGAAGATCCAAACATAGATCAAACATTGTAAACAAGATGACACTTTAAACACTTTATTTGCAAATGAGTTCTTTGCTGCGTATTTATGTGTAATTTTAATTAGCCTACTTACGAATACTTTGATGTAAGAACTCTTATGTGAACATCCGTAATTAATTCACTCCTTCACATATCTTATGTATGTTCTCTTGAAATGATGGTATAGTTCCGCTAGCTGACACGACAACCTGCAGTTTGCTTGTTTTTAAGATAAATGATATATTGGCTTACTGGATTTTAAAGTATGTCAACATAACAGTTATATACTGCTGCTACAATGTTTCTGTAAGATACAAAACGATTGACTTATGTCAATATGACTCAATAGCATTCAAAATATTCATTAACACTCACATTCATTCATTTCATTGTGTGTGTTAGTGTGACATAGAAATTGTGTCAGTTATTGCTGATCAATGAGACCATGTGCAATTTTAATTAGCCTAGAATACTTTGATGTATAAAAGCTCTTATAGGAACATAATTAATTCACTCTTCACATCTATCAAAAGATCTAGACGAAAAGTGGGAATTGGAAAAGATCAGTGCGAAAAGTCTGCCATGCACCTAATCTACCTATATATTGTCTGCGCGAAAAATATTCGTTAGAATATTCATCATTCGTAGCGATGTAAACGCGAGGTTGGCCAGAATAATACATTCATCGATCAACAATGCACGGAGACACTAACAAACACAGCAATATAACAACGTGTCAATGCGTTAAAAAAATTTGTCGTTCATCGGCGAACATGCAACGAAGCAACTAAAGACCCATTTACACTACACACATTTTTCATGTCAAACTCACTCAGGACAAAAGGTTTATCGCATCACACGGGCGCTCACTTCCAAACTTACGGGTGAAATTTGACTATTTCGCAGTTTAGAAATTTCACTGGTACCAATTTTGTCTTTTTACACTATGTTCAATTTCAGTTTTGTTACGGATGAAATTGAGAATGATATAATTTGGACTGATGGCCTAAATTACATTCGTATACCAACTTCATCCATCGGCCAAACTTAAAATTGCACGTAAATGGTCCTTTATAATCGAATTTTATATCGCACGTATATACTGTCACTGATTAAGAAAAGCATGCACCAAATGAAATGAGATAATAATACAGCTTTAACTTCTCATAGATGACGCAAGTACCTCCCGTCACAGCACAATATATTATATTAGCCAAATTACAAAGTTTCAAACCAATAATAGGCAATATTGCAGACGTTCAAAAGAGAAAACACATGAAATACGAAAATTAAACTAGGAACCAGGTTGAGTATATAGCCTTTGTCAATCGTCATAATAATTATGTTGAGTGAAACAGCCTTCGTACTTCTTCCTTCCGAAACAGCCCTCCTGCTTTTAGTCCGGCACTTTTATAGCCTATTCATGCAGCTAGACTGATCTCTACACGCCCAGCATAACGCAATCTCGTTCCCTGCACGACTTCCCTCATTTAGGGAATTCGTGTGCAAATTAACGAGTTAACTGGACAATTAACTAATGAACTAACTAGCTTACTAGCTAACTTACTTTACTTTAATACTTTACTTTAGTTTTCGCTCGTGCTTCTAAAATTGCTCTTGAATGTGGACTCATGCGACGCTTCCTTGTTATTAAGATAAATGATATTCGGTTTTAAAATATATATGTCAACGTAACAGGTATATACCGATGCTACAAATTTAGTTTCCGTAAAAACGACAAAACGATTAACATAAGAGCGAATACGACTCTATCGCCTGTATTGAAAATATTCATTAATACTCACGTTCATTTATTTCATTGTGTGTGAGTGTGACATAGAAATTTTCAATTGATATTGCTGTTCAGTGAGACATTGCTTTTTAATGGAAAGATTTTAAGGAAAAACAATGAAATCAAGCTGTTATTTTACTGAAATTACCGCAATGGAATTAAACGTCACGAGAAGATTAAAATCAATGAGAGTGAGTGAGCTATTAGAAATTTACAGGTCCTGTATTTATAATTCTGAAAGCTCACTCACACTCAAACACATTGAGTTAGAGGCATAAGTTCAGTTAGACTTTAATGTCTAAATTTTTTTAATAACCTCGAATAACCGAAAATCAACCCTCGACCCTCGACTTCATACTTTTGAACGAGATTAATTGTGTTTACCTAAGTCCTTATGTTATGACATGCTGTATATACGCCCCCTCTCAAATGATACGTCTAGCTCATCTTGATAAAAGTATGTGGTATACCAATTAGGGAGAAAAATACGTATATCAATAAAACATTAAAATATAACGAGTCTTAAGTGTTTAGTTCAAATCCTTTTAATGCACTTCAATAGTTGTGTAGTATTTATAGCGCTTTTCCAAGGATTTCAATATTGATTCTTACTAGGAAGGATTTCAATATTGATTCTTACTAGGAAGTATTTCAATATTGATTCTTACTAGGAAGGATTTCAATATTGATTCTTACTAGGAAGGATTTCAATATTGATTCTTACTAGGAGGGATTTCCATACAGGAAGACTGAAATCCTACGAAACACTGAACAAAGAATCTTTAAATATTTTCTTGGTAATCCGGAAGTTTTGAGATTTCTGTTTATATACATAAGTCATAAGATGTTTCATTTTGGTGCAATTTATCCTTTGCTTGATAGTGAGAAGAGCACATCATTTTTGGTTGGTTGATGCACAACGCTGACTTTCTTTTCAACTAAATGGGTGATAAGGAGGGTCGAACAGCACCAAAGGTGAATATTCAACTTATTTGTCTGTATAATTATCGCTCTTTCCTGTGTGATTCCTGATTCGTACTCCTTGATTAATGGCCAGGTAGGGCAGGTATAGCCTGTATATTGCTTACAATCGTTTACAAACGTCGTCATCGCAGTTATAGAGGGACATCAGACATGTATATGACGGTAAAACGCGATCACGACCACTAGATATTTATACAACCAGTCATCGAATCAAGGAAATCTCAGGTTTTCACGTCTTGTGGCGCAACGTCCCCATTTCAAGATTCCTGCGAGCGCTATACTTTAGGATTGAATGGTTTCCAAATATAAACCTAATGTTTTTAAAGACTGCTATACCTCGTTAAATTCACAAGATTAAACAATGAATCCAAAGGAATTATGTGAGGGAGTCTTTCAGCTGCGTCGTCGCGTTTCCGAGTGCACATGTTTATTCGAGAGTTAGATCTAGCACGGCAATGGCAATGGCAACGGAAAAAATAAATTAATTCACTTGATAATGTGGTCTTCCAGCAAAATTACGAGTTACCCTACACATTATTTGCTTCTAGCTTCAAGTTTTCTCTTTCTCTCAAACAGTTATAATAAAATGTAATCAAAATAATAAAATGATAAATTATAGTCGATCAGAAAAATTTTTTCGTTTTCGCTTGCTAATTGTCGTGAAACGTGAAATTGGTGGAATAACGATGCAGCGTCAGCAACTACGACAACGTTTAAAGTCACGTAATTTACATTTTCTAAAGGACAGTGCCATTGTTGAAAAACGCGTTGTGTTAGCGTTGCCGTTGTATCTCCCAAACTCTCTAATTAAAGTCCCTATAATACTTCCGCGTCTTAACCAGGTGTTAATCTTTCTGTTAGAGTCTGTGCACTAAAGTTGGATACGGGTACCAACTACCAATTTTAGTCGCGCTTGCCAATAAATTGAGTGTAAACAAGTTTTAGTTGACTAATCAAATTTGCATCCTTTACAGAAAAATGTATTTCATTCCTCCAGCCACAAAGGTATTAACGATGCCAGCAGAATGAAAGCAAGCGTTAGCGTGGCCTTTAATTCTCCCGAGCACAATAATATTGGAGACAACGTAAATTTACCTTCTAGCAAACCGATTGAAAAACCTAATGAGCGTGAGATAACCGAGGGGTCAGTTGTTCCGACTAAGGAGACAAATGGAAAGGATTGAATAAATGTGAAGAACCAAATACATATGTTATATATACCATGCAATGCGCATGTGCTGTATAATTACGTGTTAATAGCTATTAAAACTATTTAATAATCTGTTTCCATGCAGAAGGAAAAAAATTGAGGCTGTGTGTAATAAAATTGTTCTTATAATCGCACGACGGTTTTGAGAATTAGATGAAGTATATATTGTAAGTGCTTGATAAGAAATTAAAATTCAGAGTTTTGTAGGAAAATCTTTCATTTTATGATCTACAGATGAAACAGATGCTACAAAGTGCCGGGTGAGTCCTGAACACGAGGAAGTTGGTAACGAACGTGAAAAAGTTGATTGAAGATCCGAACATACGGATCGATCGTTGTAAACAAGACGAAACTTTAAACCTTAAGCTAAGGGCTCTTTTACACTTGTTTCTGGGTATTTATGTTCAGTTTTAGTTAGCCTAGAATACTCTGATGTATCCAAGAACTTTTATTTGAACATCCGTAATTAATTCACTCCTTCACATCTTATGTATGTGCTTCTAAAATGACGGTATAGTTTCGCTAGCTGACACGACAACCTGCAGTTTGCTTGTTTTTAAGATAAATGATATATTGTCTTAGGATTTTAAAGTATGTCAACGCAACAGGTATACTGCTGCTACAAAGTTTCCGTAAAATACAAAACGATTGACATAAAAACTAGTATGACTCGATACCATTCAAATATTCATTAACACTCACATTCATTCATTTCATGGTGTGTGAGTGTGACATTATTAGAAATTTTTGTTTTTGCTGATCGATGAGACAGTGCTTTTTAATGGAAAGATTTAAGGGAAAACGATGAAATCAAGCTGTTATCCAATTGAAATTACCGCAATGGAATTAAACGTTAGAAGAAGAATAAAATCAATGAGTGTGAGTGACAGGACCTGCGTATGCATGTATAACTCTAAAAGCTCACTCACACGCAAACTCATTGAAGTAGCTATATGTTATAACATAACGACTTAAGGTAAACACAATTGCGTTCAAAAGTATGGAGTTTAGGTTTTGTTCAACGATCGAGAGTACTAAGTCGAGGTTCGAGGTTCGATTTTCGGTTATTCGAAATTATTAATAAAAAAAATTAAACATTAAAGCTTAATTAACTGAACTTATGCCTGTACCTTATACACGCTCCCTCTCAAATTAGACGTCTCGCCCACCTTGATAAAGGTATGTGGATATAGGGAGAAAAATACATAAGCCAGTTTAAAACCTAAAAATATAACGAGACTTTTTAACGAGACCTTTTGTAGTATAATGTACTTCAATAGTATTGTAGTATTTACAGGAATTACAGCGCCTTTCCAAGGTTTTCACTATTGATTCTTACTAGGAAGTATTTAAGCACAGGAAGACCGAAGTCCCACGAAACACTAAACAAAGAATCTTTAAATATTTTCTTTGTAAATTGTAACCGGAAGTTTTGAGATTTCTGTTTACTTATTTATACACAAATAATAAGATGTTTCATTTTGGTGCAATTAATTTATCTTTTGCTTGATAGTGAGAAGAGCACATCATTATTGGTTGGTTGATGCACAACGCTGACTTTCTTTTGAACTAAATGGGTGACAAAGAGGGTCGAACAACACGAGAGGTGAATATTAAACTTATTTGTCTGTATAACAATTATCGCTCTTTCTTGTCTGATTCCTGACTCGCACTCCTTGATTAATGGCCAGGTATAGCCTTTATGGCTTACAATCGTTTACAAACGTCGTCATCGCAGTTATAAAGGGAATCAGACATGTATACGACGGCAAAACGCGATCACGATGACTAGATATTATACAACGAGTCATTGAATAAAAATGAATAAGTTGTTTTCGTCCACGCTCAGGTAACAACTGTAAAATGTAAATCTCAGGTTTTCACGTCTTGTGGCACAACCGGTCCCCATTTCAAGATGGCAGCGAGCACTATGCTTTAGGTAATGAATTTCCAAACATAAACCTTTTAAAGCCTTATACCTCGTTAAATTCACAAGATTAAACATCGACTCCACATGTTTTATTCAATGTCAATGGCCAGAAATCTGATACAGCATGGCCGCCGCGCACGCGCATTGTATTAAACGCAAGAAACAGGAAATCTGGCTGACATAAAATCCTACAATAGTAAATAAATAATGGGAAATTTACTATCGTAAGACTAATGCAAGTAAGTGCTTGTTGCACTTCTACATCATAATTTGCTTTACCAGCACAAACCCGTATGCGATGTTTTCATGTTTAATAGTATAATAGTCTTCATTTTGCGTGCAAAATAAGTGCCTTATTTGTGCTCTAACCTGTTCTAAAACGCTTTGAAAAACTGCCCAATATCGCCGGTGATCAGAACATGCGTTATGGCCATTGATTGAAGTTCTACGTCCAGAAACTTGGCAATCTCTTGTTGTGTTTTGATTTACGCAGTCGCATACTTCGCCATGTTCTTTCAAGAATGTCTGCAGGGGTTTTCCCTAACATATAAAATGCCGTGCCACTGCTTTAAAAGAAGATCCAGATATATCTAGCGTACAGATTATTTTTTCTTGTTATTCTTAGCTGCATACCATAAATCCGTTTGACAAAGCCTGATTTCACTGATCCTCAAAAGACCAGCCATTTTTCGACAAATTGTCCGACATTTTACTTGCAAATGAGGTAGATTGCAGATTCCATATTTAAGATTCAACAATTAAAGTGTTTTGTTGACTAATCAAATTTGTATCCTTTATAGGAAAATGTATTTCATTCTTTCAATCACAACGTTATCAACGATGCCATCAATATAACACCCGTCGACTATTTTAATACTAACGAGCACAATAATATTGGAAACGGCGTGAATTTACCTTCTAGCAGACCGATTAAAAAAGCTACAACTAATGAGCATGGGATAACCGGGGGGTTAGTTGTTCTGACTGAGGATACGAACGAGCATGAAGAAAATATGCAAAATGGAAATGATTTTGTTGATGCATTAAATAAAGGTGAACAACCAAATACATATATTATATATACCATGCATGCGCAAGAGCTGTATGATTACGTGTTGATAGCCATTAAAACTATTTAATAATTTGTTTCTAGTAGGAAAAAATTTGAAGCTGCAATCTGTATATAATATAATTGATTGCACAACTGTTTTCAGGAATCAGATTAAGTACATATTTTAATTATAATATAAGTGCTTGTTGAAGAAATTAAATGAAATTTTAGCAATAGTATTTTATGATTAATAGATGGAACAGATTCAACAGATGCGATGTGGGTGAGTCCTGAGCACAAGAAAATTGGTAACGAAACAGGAAAAGGTATATGCAATTTCAACATAACCCAAGTGTTTGATTTAGGTCATCCAAACAGACAAAATCAAAACGTAATTCTTTTATAATATAAAAACAACAAGGTATAGAGTTCCAAGTTTGATTTCAAAAAGCGAATTAAATTTCCGTGTTTGGATCCAAACCCGGGCTTCGACTAATCAGAACACATGTTATATACATGTTATTTTATTTTAGTTACCTTCATTTATATGTTATTTTATTTCAATTACCTTCATTTACATGTTATTTTATTTTAGTTACCTTCATTTATATGTTATTTTATTTCAATTACCTTCATTTACATGTTATTTTATTTCAATTACCTTCATTTAGATGTTATTTTATTTCATTTACTTTCATTTACATGTTATTTTATTTCAGTTACCTTCATTTATATGTTATTTTATTTCAATTACCTTCATTTACATGTTATTTTATTTCAATTACCTTCATTTAGATGTTATTTTATTTCATTTACTTTCATTTACATGTTATTTTATTTCAGTTACCTTCATTTATATGTTATTTTATTTCAGTTACCTTCATTTACATGTTATTTTATTTCAGTTATCTTCATTTACATGTTATTTTATTTCAGTTACCTTCAATTACATGTTATTTTATTTCATTCCTTAGGGTTTCCTTTGAGGCAAAGTATTTATATCATCCGATAATTTTTAAGCTATTTAGGCATTTTAACTTATTCAAATAACCCAATTCGTGGTTATTTACAAAAGATAATAAAATTCCATTATTTGTAGAACCCAGAAAGAAAAACGTCCTCACTCTTCCAAACGGCGCACGTGTGACATTTGGTGAGGTTATCGCTCTGGCAGGAGATTATTATGGCATCCCAGATGCTCCTATTGCTGATCCATTGTTAGGGAGCGATCAGACAGATTCTGGAGCTCGTGAGAGGTTTAAAAATGCTTATGCTACGCTTGCACTCATCCCGTATGAAGGCGAACACAAGGTTTGTAGTGAACATGCAGTAGTTCTCCATATTAATGTATTTCAGTCTAAACAGTTGCAATCATTTACCAAACCCTCACGGCTATTGTTTAATGATACATCCGACGTTCTGACGTCAATATTTCAAGCACTTTGAATAAATCAGAAAAAAAGGTGATTACTTTGCATGCGATTCGAGGATTTCTTAATATATTTGTCAATTCAATTCATTTTGGAGATTTGAATTCAAGAAATTATTGAGTATTTTCATGTCATTATTCATTGTTTCAAAGCGTCAAAAACAATTCTATTACTACCAGTTTGCACTCTCACTCATGAAGTGAAGTCACCTCTCTGAATGACTTGAATAGTTGAGAATTTGTTGTAGGAGCGACTGGATAAGCTATTGGAAATGATGGCTGAAGATAGCGAGGACACAACAAAAGGAAAATGTCAGCACAATGATATGGAATGGGATGAGGCAACTGGTGGGGCGTGGTTAGCGGGTTTACCAATCATCAGTGGTATTATGATGAAACTGGCTAAAAAAAACTACGATCATTTTCTGCCTAATGCTAAAATAGCATATGTTACCGGTCACGAGTATGCTATTGAAAAAGCCAGGGAGGCTGGTAGGTTTTTAATCGGGTTGAGATGATGGGAGGGAAAATATTTTCACATTCATCGAAATAATCTTATTCAAAATGATGATAAGCTGTCTTAGGTGTGAACTACCTAATTGAAAACGGTTAACGTTTTTCCCGATTGAAAATGTTCGAAATAAAAAATCAATTTTTTACTGAGAAAACAAAGTGGGTGTTGTTGATACCCAAAAATAAATATCGTAAGCAAGGACTTTATCTATGTATATAAACAAAGACAGAGACATTTTAGAATCCATAATATGTAGAGTAATGTATCTGGACATTGAACCATTAACCTCTCTATAAACCTTTAAATCCAAATTACTTTTATGTCATTGCATGATGTCCATCTTTATTTTTTGTTGTTGCAAAATTTTTAAAATATTTTTTGCAGCAATTTTTAGTACAAAATGTCGAGCTATTTCTACAATATTTTTATATGATAGAATTATTTCAGAAGAATCTATTAAGGATAATCATCTTAATTTTTTCAGGTCGAAGTCGAGAAGAGGACAAAGAACGATTGCTATCTATTGCGCTTTCAATTGACGCGTTTGCGTGTCATTTCCTTACGGATGCGTTTTCCAGTGGACATTTAAGGTACAGCAGACGTGAAAAAATCATCATGTTGCATTGATGCAAGTTGATATGAACAGGATTGAACAATGTTGTCCTAGTCCTACCCACATTGTTCAGAGTTGTTATCAACATTGAACAATATTGTTAGACACGATTCATTTTCAACAATATCGCTCAATGTTGTTGACAAATGTTAACATTGTGGGCAGCATAAATGACAAGATATTCAGCTCCGGGTTCGTGGCTCCGGGTTCGCGAACCCGGAGCTGGCTCCGGATTCGAGCGAACCCGGAGCTGGAGTGGCTAGTTTTCAAACAAACCGATGTGGCCGCTTCGCTTTTGACGGAAATCGAAAAATTTAAAAAGGCCATTTTTCTTTGTTATATTATCAAGAACATGGCCTAAAATGAGAGTTTTATTTATTTACTTGCTCGCATAGCTCCGTGAAATGGCCCTTTTTTTGCAAAGTTGACTGGTCAGCGGCACGGGAGACCGCCAGGCTTTATAAAAGTTCGATTTACTAGCTTTACGACGAGTTTTTGTAAAAACTAAAAGATGGCCATTCGAGAGAAAGCTTATGAGAATATCCTTATAGTTCTAACCTTCTTCTAGCTTGCGAAACCACGACAGGCAACTTCTGTAAAGTCTAGCTGTCTGATTTAAACCACGCACCCGTGGCATAAATTTAATCCCTTCGGAAAGGCAACTAACCCGGTTTCTGCAAATTTTCGTTTTTCCACATTGGTTTATTGAACTGTAAATGTCATATCAATGCTAACAATTATTCGAATACTCTAAGCAAAAAAAGATCTCTTCTACCTGTAATATGCTACGGAAACAACACCGTCAAACAAGTGTACACAAAGCGGCTCAAATCGACAAACGGCCATTGCATGTTAAGTACGCTTTTCATCGCCGAGATTTTTTCGCTGATTTCTTCGCTAATTCGACTTTAAATAAAATTCTAAAAGATGGCCATTTGAGATATACATTCATACTCTTCCACCACAAAGATTTGAGGTTCTAGGATTCGTATCCAGTGAGCACAACTCCTGAGAGTACATGCCGTCAGAATTCTGTCACGACCCGACATCATTAACATTACAACCCGATGGACACAACCGCCGTGTTTAGAGCAAATTCACGCTTTAGCGGACAACGCTGGTAAACCATAAACCCCATATTATTATTGTTAGCCATCATTCGAATGCTTTACGCTAAAAATATCTTTACTTCTCTTACTACACGGCGCAAACAGCATCGGTCTTAAAAACGGCTCAAGTTCTCAAACGTCAGAAATATGTCAAATAAGCTGAACATCACTCGGATTGTTTCGCAGATTTCGTCGCTGTTTCGACTTCATATAAAATTCTAAAAGATGGCCATTTGAGATTTATATTCATACTACACCATGAAAGTTTTATAGGGCTTCAGGATTCATATTCAGCGCCAAAAACTCACGAGAATACAAATTTTGTTGACAACAAACTCTCGGGCGATGATAATTAACATTGTCATTGTTTTGATCTCAGGGAAAACCCATCAGGAAGATCGGGTGATTATTTAATTCTGTACTCGGGTAGTAGACGTTTTTAACCGCGTGCTTTTGCGTTAAATAATTTTTAAATTTGATTTTAAATATCGAAAAAATCCGATTTATTTGTATTGGTCAGATTCATTCTAATACGATCACACGAGTGCTTCTATCTAAGGGACCGTTCATTATTTATGCCTCAGGGGGGCACCGAAGAGAAATAAAGATTGCCTGTTTTTTTTTTAATTACCCAACCATTTCTAAGGCACAGTTTTTTTTTACCCAACCTTATGCAATGAATTGCTGTTAAATACAACTATTAAAATATAGATGTTTGCATTTACCTCCAAACAAAGTTTTCACTTGTGACTCGACAAGTATATGTCTATATCAAAGCATTTAAGTAGATACCTATTTTTATTAGTGCATACCTATTCAGCAAAGGCTAATTTCCAAGACCCAGCAGTTCATTTAATATATACTATATGTATATTTACCTTGTGGCAAAATGTTGTGTTAAATTCATAGTTGCAATGGCTTACAATGTTTTATTATCGAGGTCTATTTTTTTTTTACCCACCCTTTCTCTATACCACAATTTCAATTACCCACCCTATTTCTCTTCGGTGCCCCCCTGAGGCATAAATAATGAACGGTCCCTAAACATAAAAACTTGGAACGCTTGCCGGTTATGAGCATGAAAACAGCAATCACAGAGAGAAAACCGCGTTCAAGAAAGGTTAGTGATAATCAGTTTAAAGGTCTAAGCTTAAGTGGTAAAGTAAAAACGTCTACTACCCGAGTACAGAATTAAATAATCACCCGATCTTCCTGATGGGTTTTCCCTGAGATCAAAACAATGACAATGTTAATTATCATCGCCCGAGAGTTTGTTGTCAACAAAATTTGTATTCTCGTGAGTTTTTGGAACTGAATATGAATCCCGAAGCCCTATAAAACTTTCATGGTGTAGTATGAATATAAATCTCAAATGGCCATCTTTTAGAATTTTATATGAAGTCGAAACAGCGACGAAATCTGCGAAACAATCCGAGTGATGTTCAGCTTATTTGACATATTTCTGACGTTTGAGAACTTGAGCCGTTTTTAAGACCATGGTTTAGCGATGCTGTTTGCGCCGTGTAGTAAGAGAAGTAAAGATATTTTTAGCGTAAAGCATTCGAATGATGGCTAACAATAATAATATGGGGTTTATGGTTTACCAGCGTTGTCCGCTAAAGCGTGAATTTGCTCTAAACACGGCGGTTGTGTCCATCGGGTTGTAATGTTAATGATGTCGGGTCGTGACAGAATTCTGACGGCATGTACTCTCAGGAGTTGTGCTCACTGGATACGAATCCTAGAACCTCAAATCTTTGTGGTGGAAGAGTATGAATGTATATCTCAAATGGCCATCTTTTAGAATTTTATTTAAAGTCGAATTAGCGAAGAAATCAGCGAAAAAATCTCGGCGATGAAAAGCGTACTTAACATGCAATGGCCGTTTGTCGATTTGAGCCGCTTTGTGTACACTTGTTTGACGGTGTTGTTTCCGTAGCATATTACAGGTAGAAGAGATCTTTTTTTGCTTAGAGTATTCGAATAATTGTTAGCATTGATGATATGACATTTACAGTTCAATAAACCAATGTGGAAAAACGAAAATTTGCAGAAACCGGGTTAGTTGCCTTTCCGAAGGGATTAAATTTATGCCACGGGTGCTTGGTTTAAATCAGACAGCTAGACTTTACAGAAGTTGCCTGTCGTGGTTTCGCAAGCTAGAAGAAGGTTAGAACTATAAGGATATTCTCATAAGCTTTCTCTCGAATGGCCATCTTTTAGTTTTTACAAAAACTCGTCGTAAAGCTAGTAAATCGAACTTTTATAAAGCCTGGCGGTCTCCCGTGCCGCTGACCAGTCAACTTTGCGAAAAAAATGGCCATTTTCACGGAGCTATTGCGAGCAAAGTAAATAAAATAAAACTCTCATTTTAGGCCATGTTCTTGATAATATAACAAAGAAAAATGGCCTTTTTTAAATTTTTCGATTTCCATCAAAAGCGAAGCGGCCACATCGGTTTGTTTGAAAACTAGCCACTCCAGCTCCGGGTTCGCTCGAATCCGGAGCCAGCTCCGGGTTCGCGAACCCGGAGCCACGAACCCGGAGCTGAATATCTTGTCATGCAGCATAACATTGTTCCACCATGTTCAACCGCAGGCTCAGAGTTATTAGCCGTGCACGAGAAGACTGATTGGCTGAAGGCTCGTTTACACTTGCAATTTTTGCTGCGATTTTATGTGCGATTTTCTTTTTTGATAGATGTGAATGAGTAAATAGTTACGAATGTTCTGATGTTAGTGATGTATAACAGCTCTTATTAAATTTAAACATCAGTAATTCATTTACTCGTTCACATCTATCAAAAGAAGAAAATCTCACTTAAAACCGCAGCATTCTGTTAAAGAAGTAAAAAATATAAGTTAAAATTTGATCTTAATGATTCTAATCTAATTTAATTTTAGTCTTAATCCTAATCTAACCTAATGTAATCTAATCCAATTTACACCTGCGTCACCATCTTTGAAGAAATGGGACCAACGACGCCTTTAATTAAGTAGTATTTTACCACAATATTAAGTTGAACTCGGCAATAATTTAGCTGACAAATGCCACATAACCTGGTGCATCGATGCCCTTGACAGAAGGTTCCAACATTTCAGAACACCAAGAGCAGAGTTGGCAAGGAACGTCACTCCAAGCAACATCGGCCATCTTCTTTGTAAATACATGCATGATGAAGACAACAAGTTTGGTCTTCGTGTTACCAACGTACGTGGTGATAAATGGATTGCTTATGGGGATGGAATGCTCATGAATAAGTGCAACAAGGTAATAGAATTACTGGAACAATTACGAAGCATCGTACAGTACAAATTCACATGCATTTTAGCTCGCAAAGTAAAAATAGGAATTATAAAAATTGATCACAGATATTTTTATGCATTTCATATATAACTTGTTTAGTGATAATGAATCCAGCAAAATAAAATGAGCATTGAACCTGATCATGAAATTTAAGGCCGTACGTTGCTGCTAATTTTCTTCACTTGACTAAATGGTTTATTATGAAAGCTGTCGACTGCTTATTTCATGAAATATTTCAGCGAAATTACCAACTGGTTGTGGAAGTGGTTCAGATTTCAGTCGACCAAATAGGGCGAGCCTTCAATAATCCCGATATTGAATTGGATCCATGTTATGTCACTGACCTTATACCATTTCTGGACATAAAAGAAAAGAATAACACCCCATTGTTTCAAGTCAAAGATGGTAAACTTCATCGTAGATCAGACATCAATAATCTTCAAGATAAGAAAACCATCACCAACTGGTGGGGAGCAACGACTGCAGGAAATTTACAATGGTGGCATGAGCCGAAAAATTCTGCTATATCACCGGCCCCCTAATGCAGGAAAATTTTATCCTTTTAACGGTCTTTTTGCGTTCACTAATCATGCTTATTACGCTTTTAATAAAAAAAATATTTTGAATACTGAAAACTTATTACCAATTTTCCAGGAATATCGACGTGTAACGTTCCAATTTAATAAATCGTATCATCGTCGATTAGATATTGCAAATCCTTTGTTTAATTTCTAAATATGATAAATTGGACGGTATAAAAAGGAAAGGTTCAGGCGAACGAAGGTAAAATATGCAATTTTTAGCACAAAACAAAATCTAGACACGGTGCAATCAATCGATCGAGATGCAGACAACGACTCCACTCTTCGTCTATGACAAATGTCAGTACCATTGCTTGTGGGCGCGAAGTGTGCAAACCTCAAGTAGGAAATAAGAGAATATCGATTGTTGCAATGCATAACAAAGTCCAATATACAAACTAAAAAAAAATAGAATTCAGGCTGCCTTTTTAAAGGCTTGGAATAAAAGCTGTTGGCGTGCCTTTCTTTTTTAATATTCAATTTCCGGAACTTCCAAGTTATAAAACACAGAGGAAGAATTGTTTATACTCTCATAAAATAGTGTGTACTCTAGTTCCATCTCTTTATATCTATTACCAATACTCAATCTGTGTGTAAAATAGCGGTTGTGATGACGCAATTTTAAGTTTAGCTAATTCCGTGTTTCCTAGTTACCAGTATTAACTTGGCCTGAACTTGCATGCATGCGCATGACTTACGCTGATCCATCACATCACGCACGTAGCTACATCTAAAAGCTAATTTAAACTATTTAAAAAAAATATGCTACGTATAATTTTATAAAACATGATGCTGTTTGCATGAATCACCCAAAGACGATTAGGAAGCCAGTCATTATCTCTATTATAGGCTTGTCTGTAATAATTGATTAAAAAAAAGGGACAGAGTTGTCGTTTGCATGCAATTTTAAGCGACAGCTGTTAACAAAAATAGTGCATTAACTTGTTGGTGGCTAAAAGCATGAAAATTGGCAGCTGAGATGAAACGGTGGAAATGCTAATGACGGAGGACATGGAACCATACATCTTTTGAATGGCAAAAATTGTCATTTTAGTTAACATGCTTGCGGTGTTACTAATTATACATATTGTGTAGCGTATACTTGTTTTATACTGTGGTAAATTAATTTAAAAATTTGTAAGAATAAAAAAAAGTTCAGTCGACTATTAGGGACCACAGTGTCTTAATTTCAAGTGGAATTATACACACTTCAAAAGTGGAACTGTGCACACTTCACTTTTGAAGTGTGTATAATTCCACTCGAAATTAAGAGCCTTTAAACCTTGACTGACATCGAGAGAACTGCCAAAAATCATAATTGGTTTACCCTCGCCTATTGCCGGCATTACCATCATATGCACATTAACCACGCTTGCTTTTATCAGCTACCTCTGTAGCTCAGTGGCAAGAGCATTGCACAGGCATCGCCAAAGCGTAGGTTCGATTCCTGCCGGAGGACCGACAGTTGACTCATTTTTCCATCAACTGTACTTGCTTTGAAGTGTGTATAACTCCACTTTAAATTAAGACCCTTTCAACCTTTAGCACAGCATTTGAAATAAATGACAAAATTTCTAATAGAATAAATGAATGAATGAATGAAACCTTTAAAAGGTTGTCCAATCAGTGATTAAAACCACTGTTATCAACTGGAGCCCTGTAAAGCTCCTGTATCGAGTAACATGTTTCGACTTAACTATAAGCCATTTTCAGTGCGAATAAAGTTTGCCGAGTCAAGTCGAAACATGTTTGCATGTTTGTTAATAAAAATAGCGAACGCTCAATTAACATTTATTTCCAAGGCTTAATTGATGTAGTTGCTTGGACAAAATTGGTTCTGTGTTTGACATTGGTTTGCGTTGCTTCTGGATATAATTTAAAGCATATATTATCGAATAAAAACAACCATAACGTTTTGCTATCGCTTTCAAGTCATCTTACGCATTTGAACTGCGAAAATGGCAGTTTGGAAGACCAAGATAAAACTGTTGTTTATCATGTGTCTGTGAAACTATTATACAGAGTTAATACTGGTCGAAGATATAGTAAGAAACGTATGGTATACTATCGCAACTCCCTGGCAACTTTTAACTTACTGATCAAAGCAGGAGATGTTGAGAGAAATCCTGGTCCGATGGATTCAACTAAAACCGGCGAGAGTAAGTCAAGACAATGTAATTCAAGCGAAAGACGCCTTGGTGCCCCTAAGTGTATGCAGTGTGATAAGGCAGTTAAGATAAATAACAAACGGCTGTGTTGCAACTATTGCTTGGAATTAACTCACTTACGATGTACGCCGCTTAAGAATCGTTTTGTTCAGCTTGAGAATTATTGGACATGTTCAAACTGTTTGGGAAAAGAATTACCATTTTATAATGTTCGTGATTTCAACGAACTTGACAATGCTACTTCCGAATTAGAGCTAGACGATGACTGCTATGTTGACCCACATTTAGAAATACTTTCTCGAAGTTCAAAACATTTGCGCCTATGTCATATAAACTGCCAGTCCTTGTTATCTACTTTTGACGAGTTTGTTCATCTGATTTCAAGGTATACATTTGATATTTTGACTTTATCTGAAACATGGCTTCGTAATAACACTCTTCAAATTGCACATATTCAAATTCCTGGGTATTCATTAGCATTTAAAAACCGCGGTGAAAAGCGTGGGGGCGGAGTTGCTGTTTATCTCAGAGAAGAATTAAAATACAAAGAGAGAAATGATCTAATGAGAATCGAGCCATCCCTAGAGCACATTTGGATAGAAATTTCGGGAAAGAATAAAAACAGTAACGTATTATTGGGAGTCTTTTACCAACCCGATTCTGATCCTACTAGAAAAGGGATTTGGCTTGAAAAATTTGAAACAGTCTTAGCAGCAGTGCATTCGAAATGGGATGGTATTTTAGCAATAGCTAGTGATCTGAATATTGATTTAAAGAATTCTTCAACCATCACCCATAAATATGAAGCAATTTTGCGCTCATTCAATCTTAACCAGCATATTAAAGAACCTACTCGTAAGGGCAAATGGTTAATTGACCATATTATAACTAACATTCCAAATAATGTTGTAGCAACTGGAGTTATACCCACACCCGAGGTTAGTGACCATGACATGCCATATGTTATTGTCAATGCAAGGCTAAGTAGATTTGAAACCAGGTTTAAATACATTCGATCAACGAAAACGTTTTGTTCTGAAGAGTATTTACGAGACATTAGTGAACTACCATTCTCACTGGTATATGCAGTAGATGATCTGGATGAAAAGGTTTTATATTAAATGAATTACTCCGTAGTTGCATTAACCGACATGCACCCCTTGTACGATGTAAAATAACTCGACCTCCTGCCCCCTGGCTGCAAGATATGAACATTAAAAATCTACAAAAAGAGAGAGATCGCTTACGATTTACGGCTCACCAAACTCAAGCAGAGTCTGATTGGACACTGTTTCGTTTAGTTCGTAATAAAATTAAAACTGCTATTAAAACAGCAAAACGATCTTTCTATTCAAAAGCATTATCATCGAAACGTTCGAAAGAGGTCTGGTCGATAATACATCGAATATTAAACCCAAACAGGAAGAGGATACGTCAAGACCCGGATGAGCTAAACAATTTTTTTGTGACTACATCAGAACGCACTTTGGGTTTTCACCCCGAACAAAGAGCTAATGTTCTCCAATATCTTCACTCTCTATCTGAATCCAACGGGAATACGTGCTTCAGGATACGAAGGGTGAGTTTTTGCGAAGTAAGCAAACAGCTTAATGCTATACGGAATGATTGCTCTACAGGTTACGATCATTTACCTGTGAAATATTTAAAAATGGCTTCCCAATATATTATCTCTCCGCTGACTCATATAATAAACAAATGCATCGCACAGAACGTGTTTCCTTACTCCTGGAAAATTGGACGTATAAGTCCCATTCCGAAAACCAGCGAACCGATAGAGAATGGTGACTTTCGACCAGTGTCAGTGCTGCCAATTTTATCGAAAGTATTTGAGCGCCTGGTGCTATCCCAACTTGTTGACCATATCGAAAAACATAGCTTGTATAAAGTGACTATGTCTGGTTTTCGTAAAGGTCACTCAACCGCGGCGGTCCTGTTGAAACTTAAGGATGATATTTTGAATGCAATGAAAAAAGGAGAGATAACATTAGCAGTCTTCACTGATTATTCAAAAGCTTTTGACACGGTTGATTTTTTAGTGCTATTGAATAAACTTCACCGGATGGGTTTTTCGAAGGAATTTTTGACGTGGACTTATAACCATTTGGATGGCAGACAACAGTTTGTACAGATTGATGATCGACAGTCAAGATTGCTACCAGTAACATCCGGTGTTCCCCAAGGGTCAATTCTGGGTCCAGTTCTTTTTAATTTATACATGGCAGATCTGCAAGACGAGAAATCTGATTGTAACTATCTTCAATATGCAGACGATACTAGTTTATATAAACACTGTAAGGTAAAGGATTTGGATAACTGCTGTGAGGTTGTTGGAAGAGAATTGGCTCGGGCTGATGGTTGGTCAACGAATTCGAACTTGCTCTTGAATCCTGGCAAAACGAAGATGATGATATTTTCCACAACCCAGATGTCTACCACTCACAACCTTTCCTCCTTGGATTTAGTTAAATTAAACATCAATGATCAGTACATTGAACGTAAGCATTCGTGGAAAGTCCTGGGAGTGGAATTTAATGACCATCTAAAGTGGAATCTACATCTGGAAGAGGTAATAAGATCAACCTACGCATCTTTGGCTTGCTTGAGGAGGATAAAACGCTTCACGCCATTTTCTCTGAGAAAACAACTAGCAGAGTTACTGATTTTATCAAAAATGGACTATTGCAATTGCCTATATGGATCCTTACCTGACTATCTGCTGAAACGACTGCAAAAAGTCCAGAACGCAGCGGCAGGTTTTGTGATTGGCAAGTTTGCGAAAGTGAAAGATGTACTAACATTGGGGTGGTTACCAATTAAAGAAAAGATTGAATACAGTATTGGAAAATTAGCCTGTCAAGCCCTGAGAGATGATAAATGGTCAAGTTATCTGTCGCTCCAAGTCAAGAAAGTTACAAGAGTTCTCCGTAGTAACAGCGACGGTGGTTTGAACATTGAACATTCTAACATTGAAGACAGTTTTCAATTCAACGCTGCAAAAGTTTTCAATGACCTTCCTAAACATTTGAAATTGATGGAGTTTAAAAATTATAAGATTGCTCTTAAAAACCTTTTACTAGATCGAGCTAGAGAAAGAATTGAATCACACTGACATAGTTTGTTTGTTTTCTTCCTCATAACCTGATTATTCTAATTATTCTAAATTATTTATATTAATTGTTGTAAAATATTGTAATGTATAGTTAGTTTCTAATAGTATGGATGAAGAGCCATGTAATATGGATATGCCGTATTAAATCATTATTATTATTATTATTATTATTATTTTATTATTATTATTATTATTATTATTATTATTATTATTATTATTATTTTATTATTATTATTAGTTTAAAACGTAAAATGTAATCCTATCACATCATATGAACGTATGCATTGAGGATGCTTTGGGAAACTGGTTATCCTGTTACGATGAAGATAACCCACCGTATAATTATTTATAACCTTATACTTCATAACTTTTTGGAGTGACTTTAAGGACGATAAATCCTAAGCTGAACTAATGTAAAATAGCCGGGCGGCGAACAAGAACCATGATCAGAATTCAGTATCGTAATCCTAATCACAGAATAACGACTTAATCAAAATCCTTATTTTGTGTCCTTGTGACGTGTTTTCACAGAAACTCATCCCAAATCCATCCATCCCAAATTCATTCTTTTTTGCAAGATACACATCATTTTTTTGAGTCCTTGAATTCGTCTGTCCGTATTCGCGTTTCATATTAACAACTGTGTTTGAAGACAGACTGAATGTAAACTCCACTGGACTGTTTCTAAAGACAGGATGTAAATTCTGGGACTGTATGTTTGCTGGACTGTTTCTAAAGACAGGATGTAAATTCCACTGCAGGACTGTTTCAAAAGACAGGATGTAAATTCCACTGCTGGACAGTTTCTAAAGACTGATGTATATTCCACTGCTGACAGGATGTAAATTCCACAACTCTACTGTTTCTAAAGACTGGATGTAAATTTCACAGCTGTACTGTTCCGAAGAACGCGGGAAGTCTTGACCACATTCTTTCCATAAGCAGGGTGTCTAAAAAAATTCAAATTCAACTTTGACAGACTGCTGTATATAAGATATTACAGTAAATGATATAATTTTTATATGGCAATAAACACTAGCCTATTAGGGTCTCGATTATATCTTTCGTATTGATATAAGACCAGAAATCACCGAGTTATCGTCTGCTAAAAATGGTTGCTTGAAATCAAAATTTTCCGCTTATAGGAATTCGAAGTGACACCGAAAGACGAAAACTTAATTCAATGAACAAAGCGCTTGTTTTGCACAAGTAGAAGTTTGTTAGAAAATTGCATTTAAGTTTTCAGTGATAACTAGCATTTCAAAGCCTTGTTTCACAAACTTTCAACAGAAAAATATCCAGTTCACATCGGCGGAAGAATGTAATTTTATTGACTTTTTATCTTGTTTTTGTTTTGCCCAAAATTAATTAATCGACTAGAAAATTAACTAATAAACCGAATAGCTTTCTAACTTACTAACTTACTGTACTCACTTTATTAATTTTATGTGCTTCTAAAACGACAGTATAGTTTCACTTGCTGAAACCACAACCTACACCTTGCTTGTTTTTAAGATAAATGATATATTGGCTTATAGGATTTTAAAGTATGTCAACATAACAGTTATACTGCTGCTACAAAGTTTCCGTAAAATACAAAACGATTGACATAAAAACCAATATGACTCGATAGCATTCAAAATATTTATTAACGCTCACGTTCATTCATTTCATTGTGTGTGATTGTGACATAGAAATTTTGTTATTGCTGATCAGTGAGACAGTGCTTTTTTAATGGAAAGATTTAGGAAAAACAATGAAATGAAGCTGTTATTCGACTGAAATTACCGCAATGGAATTAAACGTTAGGAGAAGATTAAAATCAATGAGGGTGAGTGAGCTTTTAGAATTTTACTGGTCCTCAATTTATAATTCTGAAAGCTTACTCACACTCAAACACATTGAGTTACAGGCGTAAGTTCAGTTGCGCTTTAATGTTTAATTTTTTTTTAAATAATTTCGAATAACCGAAAATCAACCCTCTGCCCTCGATCCTTGAACAAAACCTAAACTTCATATTGAACGCAATTGTGTTTGCCTGTACTTATGTTATAACATACTGTATATACGCCCCCTCTCAAATTAGACGTCTAGTCCACCTTGATAAAGGTAGGTATGTGGATATAGGGAGAAAAATACATATACCATGCAGTTTAAAACCTAAAAATATAACGAGACTTATAAGAGTTTAATTAAAATCCTTCAATGTACTTCAATAGTATTATAGTATTTATAGCGCTTTTCCAAGCATTTCAATATTAATTCTTATTAGGAAGTATTTGAATACAGGCAGTATAGCGTGGCCTCCCCGACAATTTAGTCATGCTGTGCTAAAATTTTGGTGATTATTGACTGTGAAAACAATGAATTTCTAAAGAAATGAATAATGATAATAACATAAAATTTGCATAGCATGATTAAATCGTCAGGCTGGCTGCGCCATTGAAAACAGGAAGACTGAAATCCCACGAAACACTAAACAAAAAGGAATTAATATTTTCTTTGTAATCCGGAAGTTTTGAGATTTCTGTTTACATATATAAGATATAAGATGTTTCATTTTGGTTCAATTTATCTTTTGCTTGATAGTGAGAAGAGCACATCATTATTGGTTGGTTGATGCACAACGCTGACTTTCTTTTCAACTAAATGGGTGATAAGGAGGGTCGAACAGCACCAGAGGTGAATATTCAACTTATTTGTCTGTATAATTATCGCTCTTTAATTCCTGTGTGATTCCTGACTCGTACTCCTTGATTAATGGCCAGGTATAGCCTGTATGGCTTACAATTGTTTACAAACGTCGTCATCGCATTTATAGAGGGACATCAGGCATGTATATGACGGCAAAGATATTTATACAACGAGTCATCGAATAAAAATGTGTTCGTCCACGCTCAGGTTACAACAGGAAATCTCAGGTTTTCACGTCTTGTGGCGCAACGTCCCCATTTCAAGATGCTTGCGAGCGCTATACTTTAGGATTGAATGGTTTCCAAATATAAACCTAATGTTTTTAAAGACTGCTATACCTCGTTAAACTCACAAGATTAAACAACGAATGCACAGGAAATATGTGAGAGAGTCTTTCAGCCGCGTCGTCGCATTTCCGAGTGCTACATGATGGTTATTCGAGAGTTCGATCTAGCACGGCAATGGCAACGGCAAAAATAAATTAATTCACTTGACATTGTGGTCTTCAAAATTAACTTGCAAAATTGCGAGTTACCCTACACATGATTTGTTTCTTCAAGTTTCCTTTCTCTCAAACAGTTATAATAAAATGTAATAAAAATAATAAAATGTTAAACTATAGTCGATCAGCAAAATATTTTTGTTGTGGCTTGCTAATTTTTGTGAAACGTGAAATTGGTGGAATAACGATGCAGCGTCAGCAACTACGACAACGTTTAAAGCCACGTAATTTACATTTTCTTAAGGATCAATGCCATTGTTGAAGAACGCGTTGTGTTAGCGTTGCCGTTGTATTTCCCAAACTCTCTAATTAAAGTCTATAATACTTCCGCGCTTTAACCAGGTGTTAACCTTTCTATTAGTGTCTGTATGTGCACTAAAGTTGGATGCGGGTACCAATTTTAGCCGCGTTTGCCAATGAGTTGAGTGTAGTGTAAACGGAGGCTAAGGCCTGTTTTCCACTTCAAGCGTATCGTAGCGTAACGTAGCGTATTTCTTTGTGTCCGAAGTATCAGTCGATCAGAATTAATGACTTTAAGACAATGAGATACGCTACGTTTCGCTACGATACGGTTGAAATGGAAAACGGCCTTAAGACGATTAACTGTGCTAAGACAAAATGAAGATTCCACACTTAGGATTCAACAAAATAATAAAGTGTTAGTTGACTAATCAAATTTGTATCCTTTACAGGAAAATGTACTTCATTTCTCCAGCCTCGAAGGTAGTAAGGAAGCCAGGAATTCAACACCAATAATTCGCGTGGGCTTTGCTACTCCCGAGCACTTAGGAATTGGAAACGACGTAAATTTACCTTCTAGCAAACCGAATAAAAAACCCAATGAGCATGGGATAACCGGGGGCTCAGTTGCTTCCACTAAGAATACAAATGAACATGAAGAAAATATGCGACATGGAAAGGATTTTGTGGATGCATTAAATAAAGGTGAACAACGAAATACATATAATTTATTATACTTATATAATTTATACCATGCATGCACATGAGTTGTAGCTATACGTGTTGATAGCCATTAAAACTATTTAATAATCTGTTTCCATGCACTGTGAGGCTGTGTATGTAATAAAATTGATGTTATAATCGCACAACGGTTTTGAGAATTAAGATGAAGTATATTTTGTAAGCGCTTGTTAAAGAAATTAAAAATTCAGAGTTTTGTAGCAAAATCTTTCATTTTATAATCTACAGATGAAACAGATGCTGCGAAGAGGATGAGTCCTGAACACGAGGAAGTTGGTAACGAAAGTGAAAAAGTTGATTGAAGATCCGAACATAGATCGGACTTGTAAACAAGACGAAACTTTAAACCTTAAGCTGGCTCGTTCGCACTTAGTTTCTAGTTATTTATGTTCAATTTTAGTTAGCTACTTCCGAATTCTTTGATGTATAAGAGCACTTATTTGAACACTAGAAATTTAACTAGTAAACTGAATAACTTACTAATTCACTGTACTCACTTTATTTATTATTGTGCTTCTAAAATGACTGTATTGTGTATTCATTTGTCTGCCATTTGCGTCATTCCCCACAGGTACAGTACGTATAACTAATTCGATTTTCTGAATGGCTTACGAGAAAATTTTCAGCATTCTCTGTTCAAAATCAAAAAAGCTCGTCCTCAACTGAATCTTCTGTGAAATATATAACGTCATTTATCTTTGGTATTAGCGATGCTGGATCTTTCCTTTATAAGAATTGATGTTCACGTTGCATAAACACTATGTTAGGACGTAGTATAACAATTAAGACATCTTTCGAAATTAACATTTGTATATTTTTGAAACTGAAAACTCTACTAGTCAAAATGCATTTAGTTTTAGAAATTATACATTAAATTCATTATAAGACACGTCTTATACATCTCCAATTGCCATTCGTTTAATAGTCATATTGAGATGTCCAGTATAGAAACTGGAAAGACGTCGCGAGTGTAAACGGAAGCGTAGGTTGTGCTTGAATGATTATAACAATATTATGTGGTGACTGTGGAAACTTACTGATGTTTCCATACGATCTGAATAGCACAAGAATAATTAAGCATTTGAAATAAACGACAAAATTTTAAATAGCAAACATTAGTTATTTACATTGTGAAATGTATAAAGTATAGAAATATGATACGTATACATGCAGGCTAGGTGATACTCAATGAATAACATAATCATTTACAACAATGATTGACAACATAACAGGATACAAGATATGCATAATAAGTAGAACAAGAAACGACAGATAAAAATTATAATTTGAAAATGGTATTAAAATGCTGAGCCTGTTTGTTAAGGTCTGGTTTGTTTTTGCGTATACGCAAGCTAATTAATAACTACTTTATTCATTTATCGATACCATATGAATAAAGTTTACCACAAAACGTTTGTAATTTTTATATAACGAATTATCAAATTCACCAGCATAAAACAAGAAATGCACCGAAATTTTTAAATCCTATAAAAGAACAAATTACGTTAAACACACTCTTTCTACTACAGGAGCTAATATATGGAATAAATTAAATCAATATTATAAGAATATAAACGCTTACAATATCTTCATCTATCTATTACAATATGCTCACATGTAAATAATTTTCATAGCTATATAATGGATGTTTTATGTTATTCATGTTATTCTTATTATTTACTCGTAATAATTTTTGTCTTCTTTATTTCAAAAAAAATTCAACAAAAAAATTGCAAATAAACGTTCATTTATTTCTTGATATCTTGACTGTAAATAATTTTATTATTGTATAAAATCTAAATAGAAGCCTAATGCCAAAAGCCTGTTAGGGTTTCCAGTAGGTTTCTAGCCCAACATTTTTTTCTTTTTACTAAACTAGTATTGTGAAAAAACCCTTAAAATGTTAAAATGCGGAGGAATTAATAAAATAAAAAAATCTTAAACCCCTCGTGATATATAAATTTACTTGCGCAGGATGTAATTCCTGTTACATTGGTGAAACCACCAGTGATGGCGGCAACACACATCCACTAACAAAAATCCAATTAATCCAGACGTCTACAAACACACACAAGACCCAAACTGCACCCGCTCTTGTTTCACTATCCTAGACACTTCTATAACACTTGACCTTGACAATAACTTGACCTTTAAGGGACCATAACTGCACATAAAAATGAAATAAACAAACGAAAAAGCATTGTCACGGCGATTTTTTCTGTCCGGCTTTAAGTTTATTTACGATTACGTATACATGAAAACAACACTAAGTTTCAGCCCAGATAACCCAGGGGCCGATTATATATGGACCGGGAAATTTCACAAAAAGAAGGAAAATTTAGCAAACGCAGAAGCCATTGTTGATTATGCATGCGTGTAACACTGTCCATGCATTGACGAATTCCCAGCCCGGTTTGCCAGGCTGAAACGATTACATGCGAACTTTCAGCCCGGCAAGACGGGCTAGCCCGGTTGTAATCGAAACGTCAAAAATTGCTTGCGATAATATAGGAAACGGGCTTGCCCGGCAAAGCGGTCATGTTTATTCATTGAATATCACCTCGCCTGTGTCATATTTCTACTTTATATATTTCACAATGTAAATAACTAATTTATTCGCACTAAAGATGGCTTATAGTTAAGTCGAAACATGTTTGCATGTTTGCTATTAAAAATAGCAAACGCCTAATTAACGTTTATTTCCAAGGCTTAATTAATAAAGTTTAAAACGGAAAATGTAATCTTATTACATCATATTAACGCATGCATTCAGAATGCTTTCGGAAACAGTCTATCCTGTTATGATGAAGATAACCATCGTATAATTATTGATAACCTTATACTTCATAACTTAATAAGGATTATAAATCCGAAGCTGAACTAATGCAAGATACCCGAGCGGCGAACAAGAACCATGATTAGAATTCAGTATCATCATCCTTATCACAGCATAACGACTTAATTAAAGTCCTTGTTTTCTGTTCTTGTGACTAGCTTTCACAGAAACGCATCCCAAATCCACAGTGTTCATTCTTTTTGCAAGATACACATGTTTTTTTGAGTCCTTGAATTCGTCTGTCCGTATCCTCGTTTCATATTAACAACTGTGTTTGAAGATAGACTGAATGTAAATTCCACTGCCGGACTGTTTCTAAGGACAGGATGTAAATTCCATAGCTGTACTGTTTCTAAAGACTGGATGTAAATTCCACAGCTGGACTGGTTCTAAAGACTGGTTGTAAACTCCACTGCTGGAGTGTTTTTAAAGACAGGAGGTAAATGCCACAGCTGGACTGTTTCTAAAGACTGGATGTAAATGCCACAGCTGGACTGTTTCTAAAGACAGGATGTAAATCCACAGCTGGACTGTTTCTAAAGACTGGATGTAAATGCCACAGCTGGACTGTTTCTAAAGACAGGATGTAAATCCACAGCTGGACCGTTTCGAAGAACGCGGGTGTCCAAAAAAAATTCAAATTCAACTTTGACAGACTGCTGCATATTAAATACTACAGTAAATGATATAATTTTCATATGGCAATAAACACTAGCCTATTAGGGTTTCGATTATATCTTTCGTATTGATATAAGACCAGAAATAACCGAGTTATCGTCTGCTAAAAATGGTTGCTTGAAATCAAAATTTCCGGCTTATGGGAATTAGAAGTGACACCTAAGGACGCAAATTTAATTTAATGAACAAAGCGCTTGTTTTGCACAAGAATAAGTTTGCTGTAAAATTGCATTTCAGTTTTCAGTGCATGATAATTAGAATTTCAAAGCCTTGTTTCACAAACTTTCAACAGAAAAATATCCAGTTCACATCGGCGGAAGAATTGTTTTGCTCAAAATTAATTGATCGACTAGAAAATTAACTAATAAACCGAATAGCTTTCTAACTTACTAACTTACTGTACTCACTTTATTAATTTTATGTGCTTCTAAAACGACAGTATAGTTTCACTTGCTGAAACCACAACCTACACCTTGATTGTTTTTAAGATAAATGATATATTGGCTTAGGATTTTAGAGTATGTCAACATAACAGTTATACTGCTGCTGCAAAGTTTCCGTAAAATACAAAACGATTGACATAAAAACCAATATGGCTCGATAGCATTCAAAATTTCATTAACACTCAGATTCATTCATTTCATTGTGTGTTAGTGTGACATAGAAATTTTGTTTTTGCTGATCAGTGAGACTGTGCTTTTTTAATGGAAAGATTTAGGAAAAACAATGAAATCAAGCTGTTATTCGGCTGAAATTACCGCAATAGAATTAAACGATAGGAGAAGATTAAAATCAATTAGTGTGAGAGTGTTTTAGAATTTTACAGGTCCTGCCCATGGATAAATCTAAAAGTTCACTCACACTGAAAATCATTGAGTTACTGGCGTAAGTGTTCAGTTAAACTTCAATGCTTGAAAAATTTTTTTTAATAATTTCGAATTACCGAAAATCAACCCTCGACTCTCGACTTAATACTCTCGATGGTTGAACAAAACCTAAACTCCCTACTTTTGAACGCCATTGTGCATGTTTATCTTGTGTTATAACTTGCTGTATATACGCTCCCTCTCAAATTAGACGTCTAGCTCGTCTTGATAAAGGTATGTGGATATAGAAAGAAAAATACATCCTTAAATATTAGTAAATGGTTGAACTTTTAATGTGCGTATTGCAATATTGTAGTATTTATAGCGCTTTTGCAAGGATTTCAATATTGATTCTTACTATATAGGAAGTATTTCAACACAGGAAGACCACGAAACACTGAACAAAGAATCTTTAAATATTTTCCTTGTATTCCGGAAGTTTCGGGATTTCTGTTTACATACATACATAAGTCATAAGATGTTTCATTTTGGTTCAATTTATCTTTTGCTTGATAGTGAGAAGAGCACATCATTATTGGTTGGTTGATGCACAACGCTGACTTTCTTTTGAACTAAATGGGTGACAAGGAGGGTCAAGCAGAACGAGAGGTGAATATTCAACTTATTTGTCTGTATAATTATCGCTCTTTCCTGTGTGATTCCTGATTCGTACTCCTTGATTAATGGCCAGGTATAGCCTGTATGGCTTACAATCGTTTACAAACGTCGTCATCGCAGTTATAGAGGAAAATCAGACATGTAGCTATACGACGACAAAAGGCGATCACGGCGACTAGATATTTATACAACGAGTCACTAAAATTAAAAAAAATGAATAAGTTGTGTTCGTCCACGCTCAGGATACAACTGTAAATCTCAGGTTTTCACCTCTTGTGCACAACCGGTCCCGATTTCAAGATGCCTGCGAGCGCTATACTTTAGGTCGGGCTTAATTGAATGAATTTCCAAACATAAACCTAATGTAAGTCTTATACCGCGTTAAATTCACAAGATTAAATGACAGCAATTATGCGAGGGAGTCTTTCAGCCACGTTCCCGTGCTACATGTTTATTCAATGCCAATGGCCGGAAATCTGATACAGCATGGCCGCTGCGCGCGCAACAGAAAATCTGCCTAACCCTGTTACATGCATGGTCATATTTACAGGGTGAGTAAAAAAACTGCCACCTTTGAAAGTCAAATTAACCGCGAACTTGGCTGGAATTTTACAATTCCCATGACAGACCCATGTGTACAATCAACAGGACGTGGTTAATTAATGCGAAAGTGTTTATTAAACCAATTGAACTAATTCGACGTGGCGCGTGTGCTAGAAAAAAGGAGCTTAGAATGCATTTTAACTCCCAAAGGGTACAAACTTTATGTTTTAGGTTAAATAATGGGTTCACTTATTTGATATGCTTCGTATACCCAAGAGATATTTTAGGTAACTTCTGTCACATGTGTCAGTTTTTTTTACTCACCCTGTATATAACCATATAACTATATACACGATATCACAGGACAAAGACAAAATTATGCAGGTTATGGCTTAAAGTTTACAAACGAATATGATAATTAAATTGTGGAACGTATACTCTCGTTCAGTTAAATAAGACTACTCGTTCGTTCTCGTACTGCAGGTTAACTATTAAGGCCCAGGTTATATGTCGAATTTTTGTGATTTTGTCGAGTCGAATGGAATTCAATAATAAGATAATGAGATGGTATTGAAGCTTAATGAGGTTCACCATCTCTTTATCTCTTGTTTGAATTGCATTCGACGCGACCAAAATGCGACGTATAACCTAGCCCTAACATATACAATGCCGTGCCACTGCTTAAAAGGAGGATAGCTATATCTAGCGTACAGATTATTTTTTCTCGTTATTCTTAGCTGCATACCGTAAATCCGTTTGACAAAGCCTGATTTCACTTATCCTCAAAAGACCAGCGATTTTTAGACAAATTGTTCGACATTTTACTTGAGAATGAGGTATTACGGCATGTTTACTAATGGCTGCGATGTCAAGGCACGGTCAGGGATCAGCCTCGTATCCAGGCGCTTTAATCGTGAAATATATAACTTTGCATGTCAGGGTTAAGACGATTGATGAACTGTAATGGTAGTTTCTCAAAATGTGGAATAAGCCGAATAACTAAGTTGTATACACACTCATTGACTGTGAAAACAATAGATTTCTAAAAACATGAATAATTATAATAGCTCGAAATTTACATTGCAAGACAAAATCATCAGCTTTGCTACGACTCAATATATACAGGGAATTCAGATAGAGTGAATGACTCCAAATAACCGTAAGCGTAATTTGCATAGCAGCTACCGCTAATTTGCAATTCAATTCCTGTGGCTGTGGAACTTATTATGCTCATGAAATTAGAATTACAATACATTAGGCGTTTGCAGTTATTCGGAAACTACTCTTTTCTAAACTGTGTGAAATGTACACACGTTTTCGTCTTTGCCAATGCCAACAATAACATTCGTGCACACGTGCAAATATAGCAATATAGTATTATACAGTATAATTTCATTGTTTCAAACAAAGAGATCAAACGGCCGACTACAACAATGTTTGAATTCTTTTTTCAGCAATCTGGCAACCCTGATTCTGGTCGCGTCGAATGCAATTCTAACAATAGATAATATCATATGTGATGATTAATCTCATTAAGCCTCATTATCATCTCATTATCTATTGTTTGAATTGCATTCGAACAGGCCTAAATCGAAGTGAAGGTCCCCCATTTAAGATTCAACAATTAAAGTGTTTGTTGACTAATCAAATTTACATGTATCCTTTATAGGAAAATGTATTTCATTCCTTGAACCACAACGATATTAACGATGCCATCATTACCTGTTTTAATACTAACAAGCACAAAAATTGGGCAATTGGGAGATCAGTTGTTCTGACTAAGGAAACAAAAGAACATGAAAAAAAAATGCAAAAAGGAAAGGATTTTGTGGATGCATTAAATAAAGGTGAACAGCAAAATATACAATTTATACATACCATGCATGCGCATGAGCTGTAGCTATATAGGTGTTGATAGCCTTTTAAAACTATTTAATAATCTGTTTCTAGTACGAAAAATTGAGGCTGTGCCTGATAAAATCGATCCTATAATTGCACAACGGTTTTGGGGATTCAGAAAAAGTATATATTGTAATTATAATTTAATTAAATAATATTCAATTTCTTTGTTTTTGTGTTCAGTTTTTCGCTTTAATATATTGATTTGTCTGATCCTTGCATGAGATCGGTCACGGTAAAATCAACGATGCTTTTAATCCACTTAGCGCAATGAAATATTCGCACAAATACAAGCACAAGATATGCAAGCACAACATAAGCGCAACACAAGTACAACACAAGCCCAACACAAGCACAACAAAAGCACAACACAAGCACAACACAAGCCCAACACGAGCACAACACAAGCACAACACAAGCACAACACAAGCACAAAACAAGCACAACACAAGCACAACACAAGCACAACACAAGCCCAACACAAGCGCAACACAGGCGCAACAAGCACAACACAAGCCCAACACAAGCCCAACAAGCACAACACAAGCACAGCACAAGCCCAACACTGGCGCAACAAGCACAACACAAGCCCAACACAGGCGCAACAAGCACAACACAAGCCCAACAAGCACAACACAGGCACAACAAGCGCAACACAAGCCCAACAAGCACAACACAAGCACATCACAAGCCCAACAAAAGCACAACACAAGCACAACACAAGCACAACACAAGCACAACACAAGCACAACACAAGCACAACACAAGCACAACACAAGCACAACACAAGCACAACACAAGCACAACACAAGCACAACACGGCTGCTATTAGAAATAGATGTGATTATATATAATTCTTTTTTGTAGTAATGTTTTATAAATTCTATATTGTTTTAAATTTGTATTGCAATGAAAAGCCTTTGTAATAAAGTCGTTATTAATATTACTACTATAATTACACACAAACGTAACCGCAGAGCAAAAGACAACTCAACCGCAACGCTAATAAAACACCAATGCAAAATGAACATCACACGAATGTAACTCAAACAAATATGGGACAACATAACCCGAACACAGCACAAACGCGACATAAAAAACAGCTCGAACTTAACTTCCTCTATATAATAGCACATTACAAACGCAAGAAAGAAACACGATGAAAACAACAGCAAAACTGAGTCAACAACAGCAAAACAACTTAAACCAATCACAACCCAAGCACAAGACAAACACAACACACCATAAAACAAATCAACATTAAACAGCTACTTAACAGCTTCTGTGTTTGGATAGGCTCACACAAACAGGTGGAAATTTAAAATTTTGCACGAGGAGTGACGCGAGCTTTCCTAATTTGAGCAACATTCCCAAGTGTTTGATTTAGTCAATCCAAACAGAGAAAATCAATACGCAATTGTTTTATAAAATAAAAAAAAACAAGGTTGGTCCAAGTTTGATCTCAAAAAGCGAATTAAATTTCCGTGTTTGGATCCAAACCCGGGCTTCGACTAATCAGAACACGCGTTATATACATGCATTATTTTATAATTTCAGTTACCTTCATTCCTTAGAGGTTCCTTTAAAGCAAAGCATTTATCTTATCCGATAATCTTTTAAGCCATTTTTGCAATCTCAACTCATTCAAATAACCCAATTCGTGGTTATTTACAAAAAATAATAATTCCATCATTTATAGAACCCAGAAAGAAAAACGTCCTCACTCTTCCAAACGGCGCACTTGTGACATTTGGCGAAGTTATCGCTCTCGCAGGAGATTATTATGGCATCCCAGATGCTCCTATTGCTGATCCATTGTTAAGAAGCGATCAAACAGATTCTGGAGCTCATGTGAGGTTTAAAAATGCTTATGCTACGCTTGCACTCGTCCCGTATGAAGGCGAACACAAGGTTTGTAGTGAACATGCAGTAGTTCTCCATATTAATGTATTTGAGTCTAAACAGCTGCAGTCATTTACTAAACCATCACGGCCATAGTTTAATGATACATCAGACGTTGTCACGTCAATATTCCCGGCCGGCAGTTTGAATAAATAAAAAAAAGGTGATTACTTTGTGATTCGAAGATTACTAAATATATTTGTCAATTCAATTCATTTTGAAGATTTGAATTCAAGAATTCACTGAGTATTTTTAATTTTGTTTTATTTGCTTGTTCATTGGAGATTTTAGAGTTTCATTTAAAGCGTGATATTTAAAAATTATTGAATGAGGTTGAACATGATATGAAGAATTATCAAATCTTAGTTTGTCATTACCACAACCATTTGTGTCGATTTCACATTCCCCGCTCCTTTGGGACGTCGATGTCTTCGCCATTAGTGTGACGTCATAACGGGGGATACGGCTATTTATCACACGTTAAAAAGTCGTATTACACGTTATGCTGTCACAGGTTGGACATGACGATTTCACACATGGCTATTAGCCAATAAGAGGCTGTGAATTTTTTTGAATAAATAATAATTAACAATTATTGGATGAGGTTGAGTGTGATATCGAGAATTATCAAGCCGAAGTTTGCATTATTTGCTGAAGTTTGAGGCTTGATAATTCTCGATATCATGCGAAAACCGAATTCAATAATTTTTTTATTATGTATTTCCTTCAATCAGAATCGAAATTGAATTAGTAATGCGTAATAAAAATCATTATTGAGTGTTTCGGAGCGTCAAAAAAATTTTATCACTTGCGTTTGCATTTTTACTCATGAAGTGAGTTAAGTGACTTCATAAATGACTCGAATAGTTGAGAATTTGTTGTAGGAGCGACTGGATAAGCTATTGGAAATGATGGCTGAAGATACCGAGGACACAAAACAAGGATGTCACCATAATGATATGGAATGGGATGAGGCAACTGGTGGGGCGTGGTTAGCGGGTTTACCAATCATTAGTGGTATTATGATGAAACTGGCTAAAAAAAACTACGATCATTTTTTGCCTAATGCTAAGATAGCATATGTTGCCGGTCACGAGTATGCTATTGAAAAAGCCAGGGAGGGTGGTAGGTTTTTAATCGAGTTGAAATGAGGGGAGAGAAAATATTTTCGCCTCTAATACATTAAAATAACCTTCTTCAAAATGATAATAAGCTATCCTAAGCGTGTACTACCTAATTGAAAACAGTTAACATTTTTCCCGATTGAGAATGATCGAGATATAAAAAATCCCATTTTTTTACTCAAAAAATAAAGTGGATGTTGTAGTTACCAGAAAATAAATATCGTAAGCAGAGACTTTCTCTATGTATAGATTCATTAGTAAACTGAGACCTAAAATCCATAATATCTAGAGTAATGTATCTGGACATTGAACCACTAACGTCTCCATAGACATTTAAATCCAAATTATTAAATTACTGAAATTATTTAAATATTTTTTGTAGCAATTTTTAGAATAAAATATCAAGTTATTTCTACGATATTTTTAAAGAATTATTCAGAAGAATCTATCAAGGATAATTATTTCAATTTTTTCAGGTCGAAGTCGAGAAGACAAAGAGCGATTGCTATCTATTGCTCTTTCAATTGACGCGTTTGCGTGTCATTTCCTTACGGATGCGTTTTCCAGTGGACATTTGAGGTACAGTACGAGAAGACTGAAGATTTCTGCTGCAATTTTATGTGCTATTTCCTTCTTTTGATAAATGTGTATGAGTAATTAAATTAAGTAGCTCTTTTCCCCAGTAAAATCCAGTTTAAAATTTTAGTTAAAGAATACGTATTAATTGCTGAATGTAATTTTCCAAGTACCTCTTTCGGTCACGATCAACATTATACTTGGTTACGCCAGGGAAAGCTCCCTTTTTGGTAATGCCTTATAATTCCTTAAAAGAGGCCCTGTTCAGGCTTAGAGATATTTTGCAGGTAGGAAATTTTCTCCCCTTCGCCTCAAATTAAGTAGTATTTGACTAAGATAATTATTAAGTTCAACTCGGCAATAATTTAGCTGATAAATGCCACACAAGGTTCCAACATTTCAGAACACCGAGAGTCGAGTTGGCAATGAACGTCACTCCAAGCAACATCGGCCATCTTCTTTGCAAATACATGCATGATGAAGACAACAATTTTGGTCTTCGTGTTACCAACGTACGTGGAGATAAATGGATTGCTTATGGGGATGGAATGCTCATGAAAAAGTGCAACAAGGTAATAGAATTACTGGAACAATCACGAAGCATGGTATAGTACAAATTCACATGTATTTTGGTTCCCAAAGTAAGAATAAAAATTATTGATCACGGATATCTTTATTATGAATTTCATGTATAACCTGTTCAGCGATAATGAATCCAGCATAATAAAATCGGCATTGAACCTGGTAATAAAATTTAAGGTCGTACGTTGCTGCTAATCTTCTTCACTTGACTAAATGGTTTATTATGAAAGCTGTTTACTGTTTATTTCATGAAATATTTCAGCGAAATTACCATTTGGCTGTGGAAGGGGTTCAGATTTCAGTTGACCAAATAGGGCGAGCCTTCAATAATCCTGATATTGAATTGGATCCATGTGATGTCACTGACCTTATACCATTTGTGGACGTAAAAGGAAAGAATAACACCCCATTGTTTCAAGTCAAAGATGGTAAACTTCATCGTAGATCAGATATCAATGATCTTCAAGATAAGAAAACTATCACGAACTGGTGGGGAGCAACGACTGCAGGAAATTTACAATGGTGGCATGAGCCGAAAAATTCAGCTATATAACCGGCCTCCTAATGCAGGAACATCTTATTCATTTTAACGGTCTGTTTGCGTTTACTAATCATGCTTATTACGCTTTTATTAAAAACTATTTTGAATACTGAAAACTTATTACCCATTTTCTAGGAATATCGACGTGTAACAACGTTCTAATTAAATAAATTGTTTAATCGTGGATTATAGATATTGCAAATCCTTTGTTTAATTTCTAAAGTTGATGAATTGGATGGTATAAAAAAGACCGGTTCAGGCGAACGAAGGTAGAACTATGCAAATATACAAAAAAAAATAGAATTCATGCTGCCTGTTTAATTTAAAGGCTTGGAATAAAAGCTATTAGCGTGCTTTTCTTTTTTAATATTTTAAGTCTTAAAGCACAGAGTGAAAATTGTTTATACTCTCATAAAATAGTGTGTACAATAGTTCCATCTCTTTATCTATTACTCAATTTGTGTTTAAAATGGCGGTTATGCTGACGCAATTTTAGGTTTAGCCATGCAATTGCGTGTTTGCTAGTTACCAGTAATAACTCGGCTTGAACTCACCATGCGCATGACTTACAAAGAAATTACAACGTCCATGATATAATAGCGAACAACTACACAGCCAAAAATTGATCAGGTTGTTCGGTGTTGTTTATCGAACAATGCCTGAACAACACTGTTATCAATGTTGAACAACGTTGTTCAACCGACAATCGTTATCAACATTGTTCAAACAACTTGTTCACGCTTGATCAACGAACAATGGTTCAACAACATGATGGAACAAACTGCAACAGGGTTGATGAAACATGCTTGACAAATGCTGTCAGAACAATGTTGTTCAGCGCTGTTTATTCATCAAGCGTCAACAATAATGTTCGAACAAGCGGGAACAACATTGACGAAACAACAAGTTGTTCTCAACTGTTCGAACAACCTTTATAAGCATTGTTGTCAATGTTGAATATTTATTGACTTCCGCCTTGACCTTGTGTAATGTGTCAGGCATTTGGCGGGCGTTAGCGACCCGCGACGAGACTGTACTGATTCGATCATATTTGACAGTTTGTTTTGAATCACTTCAACGCGCCTTTGTATGGCAGATTTAGTTTTATTTTAAACTAAGAGTACTTGGAAACTATTTACGTTCGCATTCTAAAACATCCAACAGAATGTATTCATATCAGTCACTTGGTCATTGACTTTAGATCATGTGAATCATGTCATCGTTGGAAACTCTTGAAAAGGTCCTCGTGGTTGGAAATTAGAATCCTCGTCAAACAAGTATACCACTATGCCAGTCTGAAATTCAAAGCCTTTACAAGGAGATATTGATGACGGCGGTAGCGATCAAGACTTATTACCACTTTATAATATTCTATCACATCCGACTTTATAATATTCTCAAAGACTCAAAGTGGATTGTAAATTATCCTTTTCTGACGACCAAATGGCGCACTGTCATTGATGGCCGCAAGTGATTGTTAAAATATGGTAATGAAAAATGTTCTTCTTCTAAGCAGCAAACGAAAAATTTATTGACAACTATTGATTGCTACTATTATTATTACTAATGTTTCTAAATAACTGATATTTTTCAAAATTCAAATCAACATCATTTTTTAAATTTTTTAAATTGTTTTTATCCTCTTCATTCTTCATGTAGGATTTCCTCCCACTCGGATGCAGAAGGCCCTCTTGCACCATATCTTCTTTCCTTCCATGTTTGGAAATTAATCCAAAACTTATCATCCTTCACGCAATCATCCCTTCCGGTTTCAGCCACATATACTTTCTGGAAAAAAGGAAGGATAATGGTGAGTTAACGTTGAGAAAACTGTTCTTTTGCTGTTGTTTTTGAGTACATTTAATCTAATCTACATACATCAAGCCTAGTTTCTAAAGTCAAATTCAAAAAACCTTGCTCCACTGCATGGTATGGTAAATTTTGCCAAAAAGGTTACCATTACATGCTAATTCTACAAACCTATTTCCCCAATTACATAATCCTATAGCACTGGTAGTTAGATACTAGTAAATAGATAACTAATAGTTTTTTTTTATTGGATCAGGCCATCCAAACATGGAAACCATAAAGTAATTGTTTAATCATATATAATCTTTTTATATAGAATGGAATTAATTTGATCTTGCAACAAGCAAGAAGTACAAATTATGTGTGATAATCTTACCACAAGAGCAGTGTGATGATGCACTGTACTCTCTAGAGTAGCATTGAACTTCACACCTAGCAGCCCACAAATCTTTGAAGAGAGCTCCTTGATTGAAGCTTTTTCCATGGCTGACCAGTTCCCAATTCCAAGTATCTGAGGTGGAGAGACATTTAATTTACTAAATTTATTATTTAAACACTTATTTAATCAAGAAGCATTTTGGATTGATGAAATTTTACCCTTCTCCTCTCTTCACTTCTCCAATATGTGAACTTTTTCCCCTCAAATTTGTCAACCTTGCTCATTAGCTCTTCAATTTTTAGCCCGTATGGTGAGTTCTCGAACTCAATCCGTAGTTGTTCCTTAATTCAAAATCATATCATAATATTGCATAAAAAAAATGTAGTGTATTTCTGAAAATATTTAGTGTTGTTATGCATATGTATGTATGTGTGTATGTACACACTTACAGTCTTGCTTTCATTGGTCTTGGGAAACCGTCCAAGTTGAATGTATGCCTTTGCCAATATTTTCGTTACATTTGTCTGTTATAATAGTTTTAGTAAGTAGATTATAAAAAAAGAATAAAGTCTTATGTGCCAAATATAACGCAAAAAATGCATGGTTGTTTATAAATAAATACTGACTGCATGGCTTGATTTGGCCAAGTCAAATTCTTGCTTGTCAAACTTGGAGCCCAGATTCTTTATTGCCTTCTCCATTGTTGCCTGCCGTTTCTGCACGTCTTTGACCATTTCTTTCAGCTCTCTCAATTCCTTTAGATCATCGTCTCCGTGTCCGGCTCTCTCAGTAAATTCGGGTCTTGCGTTTCGGAATCATCTGGCAAAAAAATGTCAAAGTTTATTCAGTACTATTATGTCTATGTACAGACAATTTCAGAACAATACTAAATATTAAAATGTAATATTGTTTACCGTCAAATATATTAGCAGGAAAGTTCCCACGGCCATACGGTCCTCTCCTCTGACTTTGTGCGTTTCTCGTGCTGCCGTTGAGGGCAATGTCAACATCGTTCAGCAAATTGTTTCGCCTACAGTGTTTCGGAAATTATAAGACCAGATATTCGAAATAATGATGAAACGCGTCAATTTATATTATATTTACCTGCGTGAAGCTCCCAATGCTCTTAATTCATTGGTTGTCATTTTTCAAATTAAATATGGCGCGAAATTTGGCCTTAAAAAACTCTGCTTTAAAATATGTTTTAGCAAAAGCATCCATGCGTTGTTGTCCTTTACTGGCTCGACCAATCAGGTACAAGTACCTACGTAAATCAACCAATCAAAATCGCTAAATGCGAAGCGGGAAAATTTTTTGCCAGGCAAGCACGTCGCGGGGAATTTAACAAAACAAAGGGATATTTAATTTGGTAAATAAAAATTCTTGATTTAATTTGAACGCAAAAATGAAAAAAAGAACATGTCGATATCATTGTGACATCTGTGCAGTTAATTTTGAGTCGTGGGATAGGTATTCTGTCCATTTAACCTCAAGAGGACATCGTATGAAACAGCTCGCGACAAGGACGACGACACAAAATATCCAGCTGGTTTCTGACACATTTGAACCCACCGACGTATATGCCACAAGTCAACAGGAATTTTTATTCATGCAAGAACCAATGTGCGAAGATATTAGCTTTGAGAATAACTCTGACAGTGGAAGCGACGATACTTTCAGTGACGTCGCCCTGAGCGACTCTGAGCCGGAGCAAAGCGATAGCGAGGAAGAAAGCGACAGAGAAAATATGCTACGACCATCTGAGCAAGGCAACGGCTTATACTTTCCGTTTCCGTCTGAGATATTTTTTCTGCTTTACAGCTACGTCCATAACGTTTCCCGACCGAAGGTAATTTTTCATTTATCATCAAAGAATTGAATTGAATAAAGCGATTTGACGATTTTTGCCCTGATGTAGTGTATGACGAAGTGTTTCTAGTTTTCAAAGCCGGGTTAACTTTACCATAACTCTGATCGCAGGTACTTCTGAATTCGCTCCACCGCGGATGGAGGACTAAAAAAAGCCACCAGCACCGCGAAAGGTTTCCTAAATAGCCGCGTAACAACACCAATAACAAGGCGTGAAACACATGTAAAAATAATGTGTTTTACGCCTTGTTATTGGTGTTGGGCGCACACATAGATAAAAGCCTCTATATAAGCGCCCTGGTCCTGGCGTATTATGCGTCTTTAGTAGTTGAAAACGGCCATTAATTATTTCAGTCTGGAGTAAAACATCAATTCTTGTCGTACAACCAGTCAAACACACACCGAACTACAGCAGCGAGTTTCATCTACAGATAAGTTGCAAGGTTTCCCTCTCCAAGATTATTTGTTTCATGCTAAAACAGTGTGCATGCATTGCACATGAACCTATTTCATAGCTTCTAGGGGCGGCAGAACAGGGGCTAAGAAGTACATTTGTAACAATTTTCAAATAAATTTTTAGAATATCGATACTATATTCGTATTTCTGGTTGGCATGGTTAAATTTTTTTATCATTTTTTTATCATCAGTTACTGCTCTCCATTTTCATAACCAAATAGTTCGCAAAAGAAAACAATAATGCAATAGCTATTTATACCATCAATTGTAATCATTATAATCTAGTCAATTCTGCTATTTAAATTGCTACTTTCAGTCTCGTGCAGACCTAGATTTTCTGTGGATGATATTCAAGAAACTTCACGTAGATGTTCCTTCCCTTAATTCAGTGATTAATTTCAAAATTAAGGGAGTAGAGGAGTTACTACAGCCACAAAAGGTAAATATTACACGATGCGGTTGGGTTTCCATGTCTTCCTGTATTATATACAGATTAAAGCCCGACTAAGATCGTTAAAAAAAGGCCAATGTACAAAGTGCAATTAAGGCCATTTATTAACACAGGTAAACATTTCAATTTCTAGGATTATTACAACGGCTATCCATATTACTGGTTACGGCCTTCGGATATCGTTCAACTTCAACTCGCAATACCAACCAGAGCCAGTGCGCTTATGAGATTTCCAGAAGAGACGACACGTATATTAACGAGATGCCACAGGTTAGATTTATAGGTACAACCATAGGCGTACGGG